CCCAAATGACCCTAAACACTACAAAACACTTATTTACCTAATAATAAATGATTTTAGAATTTGATATAAGCCTTACAAACTTCAACTGTCTTACTAATGAACACTTAACAAGGACATCAGAAGATATTTGTATAACAAGCACAACAAATAAATTTGTATAATAATCCCTATTAGAAACTGTTTGTTCATATGCAGTAGACAATTTATATACTATATACTGTTCATTTTATATTAAAATATCACTATATAAAAGCAAAACAATAATAAAAATAGTTTATTTTTATTATTGTTTTGCTTTCTTATAGTGATATTTTAATATAAAATTATAATAGGTGGCAACCTATTATAAAGATCTATTAAAAATAAGTTTGTAGCATCAAACTGAAATTTTGATTAAAAAAAAAACACTAAACTACTTACACAGTTTAGCAATTTTTTTCACTCATTTGTTTCAGTGAAACAATACAGTGAAATAAATGAGTCATTAAGAAGGGAATCATCCCCTATTTTTACTAATACTACTTATAAATTTTTCGTAAATACCCTTCAAACAAATTTGTAATACTGAAATTATTTGGTTCAGATATCACAATGGGTATAACAAGAACATTATTTGTTGTACAGTCAGACCTACTCATAACAAAACCAACTATTGCAAATTACTGATTACAATGAATTTTTTCCCTATTTCCTTAAATCTCCAATACAGTACCAGACCAAATATCCAGCAAAACTGAGTCAGAAAGTAGTCTGGATTTCTCAATTTTCGAATTTCCTGAGCATGGTTAAATAGATACTTATAAAGAAGAAAAATGCACTGTCTCTCAGCATTACACTAATTTATTAACATATAGAAAAAAATGTAAGTACTTTAATTAATTTATCATTGTTTTCTTCAGCTAAAATTCTATTTAAAACAGAGTAATTATATTTAAATTAAAAACAGTAAATAAACTTTTGAATGGCAGTATGCAATTTAAAATTTGGAAACATGTTCAATGGATATTAGGTAAAAATATAATACTGGGCTTTACTTAAAAGTATATAATAATGGCTGGCTTACATTGGCTACTTATTTATTTCGTTTTTTTATCTGTTTATAAAAAAACATATCCATAAATCAGGAATATCTAATGTGGGTCTATTGATGGTATTGTTGGTCAAAATATGTAATGTTTTCCAGATAAATAATACATTTCTTTCACTACATTAATGCTATAGCTTCACATCAATTCACAAGGATTCACAGTTGAATTCCAAAGTTTGTCTAGCAATCACAGTGGCATTCCTCCTGTGGGCAATATTGCAAATTAAACACCTTAAGAACTGGCAAATATCTAAAAACACACCAGTATACCAAACCAGTTAAACAAACACCAAAAACATTTAATATAACAAATGTTTTCATCTGTATCAATCAACATCCTCAGATTACATGAGCCTATTAATGAACAGAACACAAAATCAAATTTTAAACAGCTGAGATTCAGGCATGCACTCTATGCTGAGAATAAATATGATAACAAAAAATAAGTGAATAAATAAATGTTAAATAATTAATAAGATAAATAAAATTGAGAGCATACACAAAATGATTTACTATAGTTGAAACCATGCTCTCTATGCCATTGAAGATTGTCCAATTTCCTGAAGTTGAAAACAATTTCATTTTTCATAGTCCTCTAAATTTCTAGAAACTCAAAGTATTTTAAACTTTCTGGTTCTTCTATCATCATAAGCAACCAAAACATCATCACACTTGCATATGTGACCCAAGAGGTGTTATATTGTTTTTTTCTAATATTACATTTATGTATACAAATTTAATTATTAAAAGTTATAAGAAAGCCAAACTAGAGGCTTTAGGCATCTACCTCTAGGCCAAATGACTTAGCATTTTAACTCTTAATAGCAGCAGTAATAATGCCTCATCTAATTTGGCAATTGTTTGGCTTTACTATATTTATATTTTTTTATATGATTGCTCCAATATATATTAACAAATAATCAATCTGCGAGTCATATAAGGAAATAGCATATATTCCTGATGAGCAGTAATCTGCTCACATTACTGCTCACCAACCATCAAATTTTAATTTTTTGGCAAAATCTACAGAAAGTTTAAAAGAAAAGAGATTGTAACTTTAGAAACAGTTAGACATTGAGTTAGCAAAAGAAAACATACGACAAATTCCAGATCCTTTAGGAGTTAAAGCTGCTGAAAAGTCTGTGAGCTACCCGAGAAAAATTCTAACTTAAGTTTTAAGAACAATTTCTGCCATCCTTGCTGGAAAAAAATGTAGATTTCATTATGGACTTTTCCCAAACTAGAAGTTGCATTATAGTTATGTCAGTGACAAGTACCAAAAGATCTTTTTCTATGTAAGAAAGATTATTGACAATCCTATTAGCTCACTATACAGAATTTTAATAAAATACTAGCATTATAATCATAGTAATACTGAGATGAATGACACTTTTAAGATCATTAATGAAATTTATAGTCTGTTCACAATATTGTGTGAGAGCATGGACTTACAACACCATCAGCTTCTACATGCAGAAGTGAGGTGGATATCAAGAGAAGAGTTCTTGCACACCTTTTCAAACTGAGACAAGAAGTAAAGCAGTTTCTGCAAGAGTGAAAACCTGACCTATTAGAACCTTTGTTGAATGATGAATGGAAGGCTAAACTTGCATACTTGGGTGCATATATTTGATATTCTTAACAGACTTAATCTTTCTCTCCAGGACATAGTATAAATATTTTTATACTGAGAAATAAAATGTATGCATTCAGAAAGATGTCATTTTGTGATAGCTGCATATAATCTATATATATATAAATGAATGTATGTCTTTGTGTCTGTCCTTCATGCATTACCACACCGTTTATCCGATTGCCATGAAACTTTTGGAAGTTGTTTAATATACTCCCTCGAAGGTTTCTGGCAAAGTACATTTATCCTATGATAGATGGCGCGCGAGTGTATGTGAGCATTTCACTGTGTGTTCAATCGATTTCAAATTGTGAAGACCATTTCCCCCTCCAAAAAATATCTCTATATATGCATTTGTGAACTGTTATTTACAATATTTGTAATAATAATTTTTGTTTAATCACTTTATTTCAACTTTTTTTTGCTAATTACGTATTCGCTCGAACTTCGTTAAAACCTTAACTGTATACCGAACAACAACCGAAGTCGTAGGAGGAAATTTGCCTATTTTACCAATCTAGGAATTCCCCTTTTCCAAATTTTAATATTGCCTCAAAATAATTTAAAAAGACAAATTATAATAAAACTATTAGAAATTTCACAACATTTCAAGGAAGAGAGGAAGGAGCAATTAAATAATTAAAATTATAAAGGATTAAAAACATATATATAAAAATGGGGAATATTGCATTTCTGACAATTGCTGCANTTATAAAGGATTAAAAACATATATATAAAAATGGGGAATATTGCATTTCTGACAATTGCTGCAAGTGTGTGGGCTAAATTTGTTTGTACAGTTGTCCAGCTCGCGTCGGAAAACCTTCTGATTTCTTCATGTACGCACCAGATGGAAAAACAAAAAATATCGTGTATCCACAAGCACTCCAATAAATAAATAGAATTGAAACAACACTTTGAAATGTTTTCCTGATGAAAATGAATAATAATAATAAGTTTCAATAAAAATGATAAAATGTAAATTGAATTTTATCATAATGAGTTTGCTTGAATTTCATTTCTTCTGAGATCGCAGCAATGCATGACGGGTAAGCTAGTTAGAAATAAAAGGGTTACTGTTACAAATCAACAGAGCCCAATAGAAAAATTCTGACATCAGATTTATAATCAGCACATCTGAATTAATAGGAAACGCTCATGATTGTTTATTTAACGAAACCACTGTTGACCAGTGTGATTAATGAAGGCATTACATGGCTCATGAGTATTCTTAGTGATGATTTCAGAGTGTAGGATTATCTACTGGGTTTGGAAACTCTGCAGAAATAATTCTATTAAGTCAAGTTGATCTATTATAACTAAGCTTTAAATGTGGTTTAATTTTAATGCTGAGGCAACACTGGGAACATCTATTAACTTATAGTAACATGAATTAAAGTAACTAATAAATAAAATAATATGTGCTTGTTGAGTTTATGCACGACAGAAAAGTATTCATCGCCATTTTCAAGGTATAGCTAAGGAGTCAGAGTTGCTATGGTTAATAATATTAATCTTCAAGGTTAATATCTTAATGTCCTTATAATGCTATTCAGTTCTTTCATATACAGTATCGTATAATCGCATTGGAACCAACACTTGGTCTTGTTTTAAATAAATATCTTGTAAACATACTTCTAGTTAACAGATTGATTTCCTCATTATTTATCAATATGCTAAAATCAGTTGTTTTGAATATAAGAAAATTATTGCAGTTTGTTACAATGGTTGATAGAATATTTGAGAAATGAAGATGGAACTATTTTATATTTGATTTGTAAATATTCTACTGAAAGATTTAATGAACTAAATACAGATTTTTAATTAAAATTTGTTAATTTTTTATTGACCAATATAGGTTATATTTAAAATTAGTCTGGAAGCTAAGATTGGATGGAGATTTAGGTGATGTAATTGCACTGTGTCAACACAGTAAGCAGGAATTTCAGGTTCCAGTCTTACTCTTGACCAATCCTTTCTTCCAGAATATTCTAACATTAAATTTAATTAATTTATTTATTTATATTATATTTAACAAGAGATGGCAGCTTGCCTTCTACTGTAATGTTTAGTAATTAGCCTTACACACCAATAAAGAATTTGGTTATTCATCAGGTATTTGAAAGTGTCTAAAAATTTCTATGTTTATAATTGACTGTTTTGAAATAGGTTGTTAAAAATATATTTTGTATTAAATTATGAATTTTTTTGATAGTTAATTTTAATTTTTGTACATTGTTTGAATATTACTACATTTTAAAATTTATTTTATTTTTGTAGAAAAGAAGAGAATACCAAACACAAAACTCCGAATACAAGACTTGTTATTTAGATATTAACAACGAATATTTGTTAAACAACGAAATGCATTTCTTTATGTATTTCTAAATAAAATGGCTAATGTAAGAGAACAAGTATTAGCAGCTAGCCGTTCGAGAACCGGATGGCTTGAAAGAAACGTGGAAAATTCCGACCATATTCCATTTATTAACGATATAAAATTAAGTTTTGAAGATAAGATGCAAGAAAAAATGGATAAAAAGATCATTGGAAATAAAGTAGAATCTCCGAGAAAGAAAGGTACTAGAGTTAGTACTATAGCAAGTATGTTTCAATCTTTATCACCGCAGAAAGATTGCGTTTCAAAAACTATAGAAATCCATAAAGATTCAAAAGTTTACCCAAAAAAGATAGGAAGTGATACTCTCTGCGGCGGTAAAGAATTCGGAAGACCCGAAAGACACACGGTGAGTGATTCTCCTCATTACAATTCCGTCTCATCTCTTTCTCGGAGTGAAAGCCATTTAACGAGATTTAATAATGCACGTGCCATGTTCGAACGTCTGCAGGATCAGACTAAAAAAATTTCCAAAAGTGTAGCCGCTACAAAAAAAGGTAACAATTTAGGTAGTACTGAGTTCTTAAGTACATCATCGCCTACCAGTGACGTGTCTTCTCATTCTTCTTTTACACCGTCTCCTATAAATTCCAATGAAGATAATGTTACCGCTTCCGTCGAAAAACTGTGCGACACCGAATGTTCCGTATTTCCGAAATGCAACGAAAACATAACAGAAAATCATTGTTCCGACTTAATTGAGAAGACTGAAAACAAATTCGTAACGGATTCAAAGTTAAAAAATTATCTTTCCAAATCCGTCGATACGGATTCTAAAGATAGAATCGAAATGAATAACGACGAAGTAACGTACGAGAAGAATAAAGCCAATAATGTTAATTTAACTAATTTGAGCACAAGTTCCTTTAAAATAACACAATCTTCATATTGTAATGGTCTTTTGCCAAATTCAGATGAAAATTGTGTAATTATAAATCCTATTTTTAGTCAGTGTGAAAATACATTTTTATCTGAAAATATAAGTTCATCACTGAATTCCGAATCAAAGAAATCATCATCAAATATGTCTTCCATAAATTCCACATTGCAAAATCATTTGTCTTCCAGCAAGATCGATACCGAAGAATCTGCAGTAATTAATGAAAGCAAAATTCCGTCTAAAGATAAAAAGATCGACACTTCATCTTCCAAGTTTGAAAATCATCAAATTTCAGTCGACAAAGAGGAAAATCATTATGAAAATAAAGAAATCATAATGGAATCAGGTATGTTAATATTGAAGAATTGTACTCTTTGTAGTTAATGTATATAAAATAGTTGAATTTACAGTTGAATCAGTGAAGTAAACGTATAAAATTGAATTTATTTTTTTTTATGTATATATAAGTAAATTACCAATAGAAAAACTTAAAATATACAGTGTAGTAATAATTTTTATACTACCTTATTGAAGTGAGAGAGCTCAATAGTTCCAATGAACCATAGAGTGATGCTTGCAGGAGCATAACCTTCCATAGGAACATTCATACTATTAAGCTCTATTGGGAGAAATGAAGTAAAGAGTGACCCACAAACAGTGTCTAAGAGTGGGCAACTAAATGGCATCCGTTTCCCATGTCAGGCAGCTGATTTATAGAGTTTTAAGTATGTAAGCATACCCATTTCTGTGGAGAAAAAAAATGGTTGTGACATGCTTAGCATAATTTGGCTCAAGTGTCACTCAGGTTAATGTGTTAACAGAATATAATAAATGTTACCTTAAATTCTTCATAGAAAGGCTGACTCTTCCTCATAACGAGAGAGAGAAGCCTCACAACATAATAAATTATCACTACGGACTAATCCAGACGCTGTGAGAGTATTCATACAATAAGCAAGAAACATCACAATTTATAAAAAGTTGTAATTCTTACAGACAAAAATAATACACCATTAAAACCTACAGAACACTGAACTGGATACATCACAGTACATAAAAAGTAGGCACCACAAAGCAGTCTGGGTCAGAAGGAGTTTGAGGTAGGAATCCCAACAATCCTAGCCAGTATTATGTTGAAAATTATGAATATTGTATTGTATGATTGTCATACAAACTATCTCATAAATACGAAAACTACAGAAAACATATCTTAAAACACACAACACTTACAGATGATACTTATAGAAAATGCCACATTATGCTTGAATCTAATCAATGTATCATATTGAATATCGAGTTTTCAGCCCATACAGAGTACTTAAATCTGCATAATTAAGAAACATATGTTAAAAGCGTGCACACAAACACAAATTATTACAAACCCCGTTATTGTAGTACAAACACATGGTTGGATGGCAGAGCAATTACAATATTTCTCTGAGGACTTCGGAATGAATTCGGGGGATCAAATAACCCCCAGGAAGTTTTTACTTTTAGTACTTACAGGCCAAAAGAAGTAAAAAAGCAAAGCATAAATACATGCTGCATATAGTCTAGAGGACAACACACAAAATATATTATGACTGAGACATAATGAGTGGACTGACAGTTCCATTCACAGATTGTTTCACTGCTAGTCACAAGAGATCAGCTTTATGAATGAGTTTATCAAAATTTAAAAAATATTTGGTTCAATTAGAGACTAAAAATTAGTTTACAATTTATTAAATATAGTTTATTAAAAGTTTAGCTCATTTATGAAGTTTATGGATGATGCAGATGGTTAAATCCTGGAATAACATGAAAGGCGTGTGCTCATGTCTATTATTAAACAATTATTAGAAATAAATCACCTTGGTAACCTTCGTTTTATTCCAGTAATATCTTAAAGCAATCGTTAAAGCTAAAAATCCATTAAATAAAGTAAGATAAACAAATTAGTTTATCTGTTTTTTCTTAAGCAGATACATTTGAGTAATTAAAATTAAATATTTATGAGAAGTTTAATTTTTTAATAGAAAAGTTGTGCGTGTGTGTGTATTATTGTTTACGTACTCGTGACGACTGTAATAAACAAGTATATGATATAAATCAAAACAAACAAACTTTTTTGGAAAATACACTTTAATTATATTTAACTAAACAAGTGAATAACGTTCTTAAAAAGTAAACAAAATTTTCGTTTGACAAAAACAAAAAAAAAATTCTATTTATTTGTCTTCAGATGATGATATATCAGTACATGCCCATTGCCTGTTTGGATTTGATAAAGAAATAACCTGTAAATTTAATTACATATAAAAAGCATTTTAAAATTAAACAGTGTGTTAATTTCCACATAGGGGCTGTTCATAAATGACATCCACGCTGGGACGGAGGGAGAGTATTACAACCAGTCGGACAAGGGGGAGGATTGAGCTTCGGTGGATGTCCATTTATTTCATTAAATTTTGTACAGTTTGTGGATTTTATTACATTTATTTCAGAATTTCTGTTATGTTTCGTTTCTATTTACGATATCTGTCATTCATAAAGGATAACAGTTTTAAGGGAGGTAGAGTTTTGTTGGACATCCATAGAGAGGAAGAGTTACGGAAACTTGGACAAACTGGGGCATGAGGGGGTGTGGAGTAAAAGTTTCAAGAAAAATGTAGATGTAATTTATGGGCAGCCCCATGTGTCACATGGATTGGAAATTTTGTCTATTAAATTGAGGTCTTACCATAATAAATTATAGGAGGAAAAAAGCAAAAAAGTTTTCAAGATAATATAAGACAAAACTAAAGTATATTTAAAAATAAAGCATTTAATTCGAGGTTTTTAATATTGAATTAGATCGATTCAGATTCACAAGTACGATTTAGGTCTTTGATACTTTTTTTTTACCTATCAAAGGAATGTTTCACATGCAGAGTGCACAGTAACTCACCAATGATGTATTTAGGAAAGGAAATGATAAAACAAGCCTACTTGGCATTGTAATAATTATGTTGCAAGTGAAAAAATTTTGTAATATGTTTTGATGGTTCTACGATTTATTCATCTCTGCTTATGCTACACTCTTTGGTAATTCTAAATACCTGGTCAATGCTGGGTTATAGATCAGTTTTCACAAATAAACCACACTTTAAATATTTTTTTATAGTTATTTAATTGTCATTTCTTTTTATTCTTATAAATAATACATAACAATTTCTTATAATTTAAAATAAAAATATCATAAAATTAATTTAAATTTGTGTTTTAAAGATAAAGTTAAAGAGCCAGCAGAAAATACAAACAGCAGCCACACACCTAGTGCCAATTTGGAAACATTGTCTTCGAGCGAAGAATTTAATGGGGAAAAGTTTTCGTCGTGTCCTTTGCCAAATGGCTATACTTCGTCTTCTATTAAAAATGACGACGTAAACGAGAAAATTGATTGCTTGACAAATAATCAGATAGAGAAGAAGTACGAAAGCTTGTATACCTACGACGACGATGCCCTCCAAGTCATCGATGGTGATATTATAGATATTATACCTAGAGATTCGATTTCTGATTCTAAACCTCAGTTATATTTGCCAGACGTGTCCGAACAGCTTCTAACACAAAATATTTCTGTAAGAAACTTATATTCTAGTTCAACTCTTCAATTTACAAAAGAATTAACCAGAAGAGTAAACGAGTCGTCCGATAATGAAGAAAGCGATAAAAAGATCGATTGTAATCTCTCTAGTTGGATTAATAGCCAGCACGTCCCATTTAAAGATTGGGAGAAGGAATATGAAACTTCAGAACCGTCTACAGATCACGAGGTTAGCGATTTTGTTATTTGTCGTAACAGAATCTATTTCTGCTTTTACATTAAAATTTTACGAGATAAACTTATTTTAATTATAATAATATAATTTAATTTGTATTAAAAATGTCACAACTGATTATACATTACCTAATGACAGGATTCACAGATCGGTAGCCCTTACGAAAATAGTGGAAGTTTGCGCGATTCAGCTGGCGAAACTCTTGCAGAATTTGAATGTCGTGAACACGAATTGTTTTTAGTCGAAGCAGTTTTAGAGTCTGACGATCAAAACTGTCAGGTAGGTAGCAAAGTTGTCACAGAATAAAGTCTTTTTTGAATGATTTACTTGTTTAATAATTCCATTTAGTTTCAAGATTAAAAATAATAATTATAAATTTGTTTTCTCACTAGTCTGGACCATTTCCCAGTCCACCAGGAGAGAAGGAATCGAGCGTGGATGTAGAATTAATGACACAAGAAGAAGCAGATAAATTACTCAGTAAATCGTAAGTTTTTATTTTATGAGTACGAGAGTCTCTCGTCAGCTGCAAAATCCCGAAATAAGATTTCTGTCCAGAATCAAGATAATGGAAAAATTGTAAACGTTCCAGAAAATTGATCAAATTGAAAATAGTTCGTTTGACTGGACGTAAAAATTCTCTAATTAGTCTGGAAACGGGTGACCTAATTCTTGCATTTTGTGAAAACGGGTAAGATTGGCTATAATGTAATTATCTTAATCTTCACTATCGTTACTTTTTGCCCAGCGATGCGGGTCCTTGCAGCTAGATTCTAGATTACTTAGAAAAACAGTTTTTTATATATATATAAAAAACTATATTACATACAAATAAAAACCCAGCGAAGTGGGTCCTTGCAGCTAGTTTCTATATATAGCAACATCCTGGATCAGAAATATTTTTGCATATCGCAGTTTAAAACATTAGAATTAATCAACAAATAAATAATTAAAGAATATACAATGTATTATATGTCAATGTTGAATAAATACTTTAGTATTTATAATCATGACAAAATAAATTTCTACAGTATAGAATTTTTAAAAATGATGCAAATAAATGAAAATTGTATTGATGTCATTTCTATGTCCTCTATCATAATACTGGTGTAGTTTAATAATAAATACGCCTAAATGTCAAAAAACTTTTTGATGATTGTTTACTGTTTGAAACTATGTATATAGATATAAAAGTGAGCATTGCATATCAAATTCTTAATTAAATAATCATTAATTAATTAATAAGGGTGTCTATTGTTTTTACACATGGGTGGCTAACAACCCAGGAACGGTCCTGTGTGCAAGGTTACATGCACATTTTGGGTCCTTTTTTTTTATTAATCATTTTGGATAATTTGAGTTTCTGCCGTAATTTGCTTTTAATCATCAAAAGTGATGAAAAAAAGCAATGAATTTATAGCTTATCGGATGACTGTTATTTCATCATATGTCTATCAGTTTTCTGAGATGACGTTATATAAACAAGAGATAATTATGGCGAAATTTATTAACTTTCCAGGTAAAAATTCAGGTAGGCGTATCTAATAATATCAATTAAATCATGATCGAATGTAAATGAAATCAGTGGGAGATAACTAAAGGCAAAGTATAAGTATATTTTAAGTTATGTTAGAGGAATATATCTGTAGTGCACAAAGGATTTTTTCACATATTCTAAAGACACTTAGCTTTTTTTTTCTTTTGTCTAAGGTCACTATTTGATGAGTTTGTAATAACAGATTAAAATTTTCATGTAACTGTCAATCCCTTTTAAATTGTCTTTAAAATACAAATAATCCACAGGTTATTTACACAAAATTATAGTAATATTCATTAATTTTTATTTCATTTACCATCATTTTACAATTTTCAAGAAATGGCTTTTTAATAGTTTTCTGGCCAAGATTATTTTACTGTAGTACAGTAGTTTTAATTAGTTTTTGAGTCATCTCTTTTCAACAAAATAAAAAGGAATGTTGTATTTTTTAAATGATTGCTTGGATTATATTAAAATTGCGGCTTCCTTAAGTGACGAGATTATTTAAAAAGCTTCAACTATAGTACTTTGCTTTGCGTGTGGCACAGCATTGACAGAACCTGAGCTGTGAGTACCTTGTAACAATTGTGAGGAAGCCTGCTGATATACCATAGTGGATATGGGCGAATAACCAATATCAGCATTCAATTCTGCCACACTGGAAGGTTCCAAATCATATACTCAATCTTTTACACATCCCCAAATTCCATATTAGCATAACGTGGTGTCTCAAGCAATTGATTTTCTGTTGATTGTTTTCCACTAATGCTTCCATAGCCTTCTCTGCTCTTTCCTGTAAGTGTTCCTGTTGAACCAAGGATTGTTTTGTACTAATTAAAAAATTCTTTTTCATTTTGTAATTGGATTTTTTTGTTTCTCTGTTAGTCTCTGAATTAGTTTTCTTTAATTCTGTATTTTTCCACCAGGTACACTAAAGTCATGTTCAATGGACTGTGCATGGTTACTTGCCTGTAGGTGTCAATTACTTCTTCTGTGCTATGACAGATGGTTTAAAAGTTACAGAGAGTGTACAGACTTTCCTTAGAATCCTGCATATTAGTTATTAACCTTATTGCTCTTTAATATCTATAAACATGCTTATTTAGGATATTTATTTTTACTTTAAACACATTTTTGCATCTAATTGTACGTTTGACATTTCATATTTGAAGTATTATAGAAATTATTACTTTCTTGTTGCATATTTGGCGCACTACTTTTCTGTCTGTTTTGTCAGAAAATTTCCAATAAAAGTGTTTTGGTGATATGATTTAAGAGATATACTGCATAAAGCAAGTACTAACAACAGAGATCCCAATTCTGTACTTTTGAAAAAAAGATGATAATTTTGACAGGATTCTCTAATAGTTTTATCCACTTGCCAATGATGGGCAAGTGGATAAAACCACTGAATGCTGATCATGGGTTTGCACCTCATCAATGGGCTGGCCAAGTGTAATTTTCTGTGTTTTCTTCACATTATTAAACACCTAAATGAGGGTCAGTTTCCCATAAAAAGACCTCCTGGAAGACATTCCCCCTCAGAAGATCATCCGTGTGTTGCATTGCCATAAACTAATAAAACCAAACTCTAGTGCAATGCATTTAGAAATGATAATCTTATATCTTATTTAACAGTTAGTTTTATTTTATTGTATTGTTTTGTAACCAAATTGTACATCAAGAGAAATGATATGATCCGGTCCTGACCGAGATGTCTACCCGATTAAAACCGGTATCAAGCTCAGCTGGATACTGTGTCACAGATGTCTCAGGGATCCTTCATGTTATTTTATATTTTTGATCATTTTATGCTTGTTATACTAACATGGTATGGTATAAAATACTGCACAACCTTTTTCCTGATTAGAATAAAGTTACAATATACTGTACATTTATCTATCAGTATATGACAGTCATCCTACAATTGAATAAGTCCAAGTATACATTGGAATTACAGTGGTAGTCATTGTAACTTCTAGTGGTATCCTTAGCTCTTCTTTAAGAGATCAGAATCAGTCTGTAATTTACGGCATTTAGTATTGCTTGAAAATCACTGCTGCCACTTACAAGTAATTGGAGAAGACATCATTCTGCAAACAATTTCTGTTATAAAGCCTAATCTGGAAAATCTTTGCTGTCAATTATGATTTACCATCTTAAATATTTCATGTCTCAGATATTCTGTCACTTTGTTTGAGTAAGTTAATCATTATAAAAGTTGATAAACTCATCATACAGTTTATCCATATCTTTAGGAGAAAATCCCATACACACTGACACCTGTCGGCAAAATATTTCTCTTAGAACTTATCGACAATTGCAAACTAGCATTAACTCATCACTGAATGGGATATTTTTCTATAAATATGAAATAGAAATTTAAAAAGACCACGCTTCCTTGGTAAAACTTTCAAACTTCTACAGGAGACATCTTCAATGTTAATCCTAAATATAATTGGTATCAGACTGTTCATTATCAAGTATATTTATCTGGAAATGAGACCGTACGCTTTAAAAATTCAACTGATGAATTTCTGGTCATAAATTTGCCAAGTAACTTTTTAAAATTTTTTTTTGATATAAATGATGAATAAGAAATTTTATCAAGTAAAAAATATATTTAAATTATGTCGTTAATAATTAATAAGTGATTTTTTTTCTTAAAAGAGATCTTTTTGTCAAGTAATCATGACGCATTCTCGTAATTATTAATCATTAGTAATTAATAAGAGAAATTCTTTTGTTTATGTTCGAAGAAAGAATCTTATGTACTTTATGTAGTTTGCAATTCATTTAATTGTTATAATAATATAAAAATATGTTTTTAATAACATAGTACAATAGCAAAGTACAATTGTTTTTTTTATTTATTTTAGTTTATCATAGTGTCCTATTTTATGTTTAAATATTTCTGATCATCCTATGTAAACGTTTCTGACGTTATTCCATAAATTTGTCATTTTTATAATCTAGAAATACACTCTATTCAGCATAATTAAATAAAGTCCAACAATATATAAACTATACTATTCATCGTCGAGGATGCTCATGAAAAGAATTTTGTTGCCGTGGATACTGGTACGTTGGATTACAAGCAAAAATAAAAATGCTTAGTAATAATGGAATGTTTTATTAATAGATATGTATCTATATGTCAAATAGAATGTTTGACTGTCTCTGTATGTTTACTAAACACTTCTAAAACCCTTTGATCTGGAGATTCTGGATCAAATTTTGAATAGTTACTCTCCAGAACTCTTGGAAAAATGTATGCTATCATGAATCCAGGGCGTCTACAGATTTCATCCTCTTCGCACTTTGTAATAATAGTTTAATGCATTATTTGTAAGAAAGCATTATGTAATGACATCGAGGAATAAAATGTCTGCTAAAAAGAAATTATAGGTTGATTCTTTCAGAAATTTTTCCACTTTTTCAAACTTTTTTCTATTTCTTTCTGTTGCCAAAAATATCTTTTATGGTGAAAATGAAACAAGTAGTGATTGTGTATATATCTAAAATGTACTCCCTGTGGATCTCCTGCTGTATTTAGCTACAAGAACATTCTTCTTCAGGGTCCAGCAGTAGTCAGTGCATTTTTCTATTCCATTTGCCTTGATAACCACTTTCCATTATGATTCCAGGCAGAACCAATGTTCATCACTTATACTGTCTATATTCTTGGAGAATAAATCCAGAAACAAGTTCAAGAAATGAATCATAAAGAACATGTGATATTATAATTATCTGTAGTTCCAAACAAGTATTATCATCTGAATAGTAAATATCTTCAACACAGTGTCAACCTCATTGAGATATTTACAGAATTAGCTTGGAAGAAGAGTTGTCTTCTAATTCCATTGTTTTAATCTAGAAACCANTTATCTATATATATAAAAATGAATGTATGTCTGTGTGTGTGTCCTATGTCCTTCATGTATTACCACACCGTTTATCCGATTGCCGTGAAACTTTGGGAAGTTGTTTAATATACTCTGGCGAAGGTTTGTGGCATAGTACGATTGCCATAAAACTTTGGAAAGTTTTTTTAATTTTTTAATACACTCCCGCGAAGTACATTTATCCTACGATAGATGGTGCGCATTTACACGAGCATTCGCGCACAGTGTGTTAGATCGATTTCAAATTGTGAAGACCATTTCCCCCTTTCAAAAAATATCTCTATACATGCATTTGTTATTTACGATATTTGTAATAATTTTTGTTTAATCACTTTATTTCAACTTTTTTTATTGCTAATTATGTATTTGCTTGAACTTCTAAAACCTTAACTGTACCCCGAACAACAACCGAAGTTGTAGGAAGAAATTTGCGTATTTTACCAATCTAGGTATCCCCCTTTTCCAAATTTTAATATCGACTCAAAATAATTTAAAAAGACAAATTACAATAGAATGGTTTATTATTCAACTGTCAGAAATTTCACAACATGCCAAGGAAGAGAGGAAGGAGCAATTAAATAATTAAAATTATAAAGGATTAAAAACATATATATAAAAATGGGGAATATTGCACTTCTGACAATCGCTGCAAGTGTGTGGGCTAAATTTGGAGAATCCGTGCTTCTCACATGGACAACTGTATGTGGCCGGTTCACGCGTCGGAAAACCTTCTAATTTATTCGTGTACGCACCAGACAGAAAAACAAAAAATATCGTGTATCCACGAGCACTCCAATAAATAAATAGAATTGAAACGACACTTTGAAATATTTTCCCGATGAAAATGAATAATAATAAGTTTCAATAAAAATGATAAAATGAAAATTTAATTTTATCATTACGAGTTTGCTTGCATTTCGTTTCTTCTGAGATCGCAGCAATGCGTGACGGGTAAGCTAGTATAAAATAAAAATGAATGTTTTATTTATAAAATTAAAAAGTCGTAATAAATTATCATAAATATCATTATTATCTACCTACTATCACATTTATGGTTAACTGAATAATTATTAATGAAATACAATTGGAATTTAATGTTCCAGTTGTATTTTAATTTATATAGTTGTTTTCTGCTATTTTTAAGTTGTGATGAGGACCAGAAGGACGTCTTTCAATAAGACTGAAATGTCATTGACTCTCATTAAAGGAAATCTTGACTTTAAATGACTTCATTTATCTTAGAGACCTAGATTATTTGATGGCCAGATGACCGAGGAGGTTAACCTCTTCTGTTATACAGGTCTTCTCCAGAGTGATATGGTGACCTCTTCAGCCGTCTGGACAAGGAAGCCAACCTATTGCTCTGGGGACCTGGTTTGAATTCATGCAGTTGAATAACTCCATGAATTTTTTGGGAGTGGTCTGTTGTAGCTATATCCTGTCTTATTTGCCCTACCTGGCTCCTCTCGTGGTTCTTTCTAAACTCACAATGGTATGATTAAATGGCCTCTTATACACTTGGGAATTGTTTATTGTCCACACTCTTTGGTATAGCCCAAGGCCTCTTATACAGATGGCAAAAAAAAGTATTAAAAAAATCAGTTGAATATTGCTGTTTTCCTTTGTAATTTGATATATAGAGGGGTTTCATGAATGGCATCCCCTTTTTCTTAGAAACCTTTCTGTCTTTTAATTTCTTAAGAAGTGTGTGAGGAATTCTGTAGTTTTGAATGTTTATCAGATTTGGGTGAGCAATTCAAAACTGTACATGAATTTGGTTCTTCCTCCTGGGTCTTTGATATCAATAGCAAATCATTCTTCTGTAATAGATTTTGTTAACCATTAGCTTCTGTAGGATATGTGATAAATCCATGTAGTCCCTGTTTTGTTTTCTGTTGTTTCTTTTGCTGAAAGATTCATTTTTGTACAATGTAGTCCTTTGCTTTGACTGTTTCATTTTTTGTCCACTTTAAGAGCTCTCTGTATGTAGGATGATGCTCTTTATAAAGTAATTCATTTTGGTTATTGGATCATAATTGAAATTATTTTCCAGTTTGATGACAATAAATCATTTTGTGTCATGCACCCTATCTCAATAATGATGGAATATATTTATGGAATGGTTAAATGGTTCACATACTTATGAAAAAATAATTATTTTTTGATACAAAATTTCAATTCAAGTTATTTTTATTTTTTTCAAATAAACCCAAATTAATTATATCATAATTCTTATTGTATTGTAAAATGTCACAGTTGTCTGTAGCTATTGTACTTTGTTAAAACATTTTTTACTACTGTTGTACATAAAAAAGCAGTTTTTCTTCTCTAATTTCTGTATCTTCTCTTACCTGTTGGTGTTGAGAGCTAAATTTTCCATGTGTGTGCCTCGTGTTGCTTCTTGGTAGCTAGTGTTTTTCTGTCTCAGCATGTTGAGAATGTCATTTGTTTATCTTTTCCATGGTCTTTCTCTGGCTCTAAATCTACTATGTCTTCTTACATATACAGTAAAATATACAGTAACATGTCAACTGTCATTCTTAACAAGTGATAAAACTATTTCTATTATAAAAAAATTGGGGAAATCTTATTTTTTCACCTTTTGCTTTCCATCCAATCTATAAATTAACTTATAATTATTTGCTTTTTGTCTAATATTGTAATAAATCTTCTAAACAGCAATATGTAATTTCCTATAAATTTTAAGGACTTAACACAGTACAGTTTTTAATTGGAAAGCTCACTGAGATTTTATTAAATCAATATGTACATTTCAGGCCATATATCCTTCCTCAATTGGTTATAATTGGTTATAATTCAAGTGTTTTCATATTTTCCAATTTGTATACATAATTTATATAATAAAAATTTTATTTTTAGTTCAAGACAATCGTTGCTTAGCGACGAAGAGGCCCGAGAAGTCGTTTTACTATTGACAAGACAGCAGACTGCATCCAATAGCGATTTATCGGAGACCGGATCTTTATCCGCTCCTTCTTCAATGTACGAAGCCGGAGAAGAGGAAGATCTTGCTGGAGAAGCAATTTGTGATACAGGATTTTCATCCGGAACGAGCGTAGTTTATGAAGATATTGAGTATCATCTTTTGCCGGACGGTCATTATTTTATTGAACAACCAGGATTAGGTAATGAAAGCGATGATGACGAAATGGTTGATTATTGTAATATTCCAACAAGAAAAAGAAAAGTGAAATTTAGTTGCAGTCCTATTAAAGTAAGTATATATTTTCAACATATTGTTTTAATAAATTGTATTATGAGTAAGATTATTTTTCCAATATTGGAAGGCTTTATTAGGATTATTTAAACCCTAAGTTTTCGATCATTGAATTACCAGTAGCGTTACACCTGCAGATGCAAGATTTTGAAATTTTCAAGAATTATCTAATTGGAATAGAGCCGGTGATCCCAACAACAAAGGAAAAGATATTGTTTTAATTTTTAAAAAATGATTTGATTTCCAACAAATAGATGTCAACAATTTATTTTATATGTTTTTCTTTTAATCACTTAATGTATTATGTATATATACTGAGTGGCTGATAAATGAGTAGCGAACAAATATATGGCATAATTAAAGTGAATTTATATAAGAATAAAGTTAAGTGTTCTATTAGATGCTAAGATTATATGCTCTAAAAGGTTAGATCAGTGATTCCCAAACTTTTTCGATCCACTGCCCCCTTTGTTCCGTAAAGTTATACCCAACACCCCCTAACCCATTTTCTCTTGTGTGAGAAAAGGATTGGAAATATTCTTAGGAAAACTTTTCTATGAATCTCACACTTTGTGCCCTTACTGTACATTGTTCTCATCATCTGGAAACCATTAAACGCAATGTTTCCTCTTATCAGCCCCAATTTTGCCTTTGGTCACCGTTCAATACCCTGCCTCCAGCACCTCCTAGATCTACTCATCGCCCAGAAGGGGGCATTATTGCCCACTTTGAGAAACGCTGAGCTAAAATATAAGTCAATGTGTTAGAAATATTCAAGTTGTGACCTTCAATAAAAAATAAAAAATATATAAAATGTCAACATTTTATATATATTCCGTCAAATTTTTATATATAGAATTTGTCTGCTATATTTGTCTTATATATAGAATTTGTCTGCTATATTTGTCTTATATATAGAATTAGTCGCCCCTCTAGATTTCCTTAATGCCCCCAATTCTCATTGAGTCTTCTACTGCCCCCCTGAAAGCCTCCAGTGCCCACAAGGGGGCGTTATCCCCACTTTGAGAAACGCTGGGTTAGATTGAGATATTTGGCATGTTATAGGAGACTATACTGTAGATTTAGACAGCCTGTATAAGACCAATATACTTCTTTTCCACATGGACATATAGTTTTCGTATATCAGTTTACTGCTTAGATGTTATCAATGTGCATTATTTGGAAAGTGTTAATCATTGATTATTAATAAACTAAAAACCAGCTTGTTCCTGGTAACACATACATATATGCACACGCACAAAACTTTATTGGTCCAATCAGTATAATTTCAAGAGAGAAAGGCAATTGATAAACAAGAACAATAGACATATTTAGAAAGGTAAAATTTTATAAGTTGCTGTATCTTATAACATAATCAAGATGGGTTGATGATAATAATAAGTGCGAACGGTTAGAAGTTGAAAGTTGAAATTTGGTACACGGTATATCATGAGAATGTACATTAAGAAGGGATTTTTGGAAATTCCATCCCCCAAAGGAAGAAAAGGAGAGAGTTAGTTTTAGTCAGTATAAAGTGTAAATAATAAAGAAAAAAAGTAAATAGCGTTACATATAATATACATTTTGGCAATTAATAAATATTTTAATCATTTTCACTTTTTGAGTAACCCAAAAACAATAAATCCAAAATAAACAAATTTGAAATATTCAATTCAAAATATAATGTTTCAAATGAGTTTTTTTAGATTTTAGAATTTAAAATTAACCTGATAGTTTACAATAAAATTTTTGATTGATATAAAATAAATGGATCGAAACAAACGTGAGATTTAATTGTTAGCAGCATCAATAGATAATTTGCTGTTCATTTGACCATTAGGATGATGAAGCATATATGAAGTTGCTTATTTTAAGAAAAGTATAAACTGGTAAGAAGTCAACTATAATAGATTGCTGGATGGCTGAGACAGTAAAGGCATTAACCCGTTGCTATGCAGTATCTGGGCTCGAGTTCCATCGAAAACATCAGGAATTTTACAGGGACAACCTGTCTCAAGCACGTCATGCTCTATTCCTCACCACCTAGTTGTTCACATTGTATTTTGACCGAACCTGTAATCATCATAAGAAAAAAGTCTAATTAGTGCATATAGAATAGAATAAAAAAATATAACATTTTCATAAACTTCTATTTGGCTTTAATTTAAAAATATTTTACTAGTACATTTATCTAACAAACAAATTTATAGGCATTTAATTTACAGAATACATATTTTGCTTTTAAGTAGAACATAGAATATTGTTGCAATGTGACTAATTGGCAATGCAAGCCTCATACTTCACAGACTGGCAATTTTCTACTCAGAGAGATTAGCCTGGTTTATAGGTTAATCCTGCTTCATCATATATGTGTATTTTACTTTGTGAAAATTTCAAGGAGCTACTGAGTAATGTATCTTTCTAGTTCCAGTTGCAAGAATGTGATGATGAAATCATTGACCTGCTTTCTGACCTGTTTCAGTAAGCCTCCATCTTTGCAGAGAGTGTATGCCAACATTATGTAGACTAATCTACCTACAGCTTAAGCTTACGGCTAAGAAAGTGAAGCAGTGCAGCATTCTCAGCAATTTCAATGTATCCCTTCACTCCATGAGACATATTTTCAGTGAGAAGATAATGAGATAACCAATGAAACTGAAGGTTGTCTGCAGAAATGTTTTTATCAGCCAGTATAATTAGTAATGGCAGTCTGCATCTTACAAATTTGTGGTTGATTTTGGAAGGGACAGTGCAGAATTGGTTTCTGAACTATAAGAACAGTTCATCATCATGGAGGAAATTGACTAGTGATTTGACTTAGAAAAAATTTTCTGGTACAACTCAAGAGTTGTATGCAACCTGCTCAGGAGGACAACACCCAGATAGCCAAGAAAGTAAGGTGGTAGCCTAATGCTCTGGGAGACCCAGGACCAAATCTGGATGGGTCAAAAATGCTCAAACTTTTTGGGGATGATTTGTCCAGATATGTTGGCCACTGTCCTTCACCATCTGGTTGAACTCATAAGAGGCTTGCTAAAAGGATCCTCTTAGGGCCACACTGCAAAAAAATTATAAAAGAAAGACTTGAGGACGAAATCCTGTATTTAAGATGTGTTTTATTTGTGTAAACCAGACTACATCTGATTTTAAACATTTGGAATATCTTACAACAGGTGTAGCTGAACATTTTCAATTTATTCATGCCCATGAACTTCATTAAAGACTACTGAAGATTTCATTCCTCTTGCCACAGGATCAATCACTGTTGCCACCATTACATTTTTCAGTCCAATTCCTTTTTCCAACTTCTGAATGTTTTTGCAATTGACTTCTCTAAACAATGGAGCAGTCGGGTCATGATTATTTGAGAAACTGTGCAAACAGAAATTCAATTTTTAATTAACTGGAATAGAGATTTAACTACAAAATTCAATTGTTTTCCTGTTAAAAAATTTTAATATTTTTATTTAATTATTTATTATATTATATGACGATTTAAATATTCTATTTGAATTCAAGGTATTTAGCACTTACTCTGTGGAAGAATACGACAGGCGTAACGACGATGTGGACCCCGTATCTGCTTCGGCCGAATATGAGCTCGAAAAACGTATCGAAAAGATGGATGTTTTTCCAGTTAACATAATGAAAGGTAAATATATATTAATTATTATAAAAATATATATGAGGATCATTCTAAAAGTAAAGAACATTTGTTTCTCTAGATATTTTTATTTAAGATAATGAAACAAAACTTATTTTACAACACATATGATACCTTAGCTATATTTATCCACAGTCACCATACAAATTTAAACATTTGTCATAGTGTATCATCAGTTTTTCTATGCTTTCTGCACACTCAATTACCGCCAAGTTCTTGAACCAGTCATTAACGGCCTCTTTCAGTTTGTTGTCACTTCCATAATGATTCCCAGCTAAAATAATCCTTCAATTTTGGGAAAAGATGTAATCACTCGGAGCCTAGTCCGGGTTATAAGAAGGATGTTCAAAAACTTCTCACTTAAACTGCTGAAATAAGTTCTTCGTCAATGCAGCAGCATGTGGATGTGCATTATCCTGCAGAAGCACAATACCTCTGGACAACAGCCCCTACCATTTGTTTCAAATTGAAGCTTTATTCATTACATTACCATAAACCTGTTAATTTTGATAGGGCGGACTTTTTTGCATTCAAAAAGCATATTACACTACGAACCTCACACTTGACGGGATCTTAATTTTGTCACACATTTCAAAGTCACACTGTAAACAGTAAACGATCATTGTGGCTTGCTGTTAGCATCAGACTAGCGCGAAAACATGGGAAGGTTCGTGACGCGGCAGTTGAGGGTGGTGGGAGAACTGAATGGCTTGTCAGATCAAAATGTTCTTTTCTTTTAGAATGACCCTCGTATCATATGATTCATCATTGTAAATGATGAATCATATGATGATAACTGTATAATTCTTTGCATTATTGTTTAACGAATCAATTATTAAAAAATTCTTCTTTAGATTGTAGAAGATTGTGTGAGAAATTTTATTTTATAGTTATGTTAAAGAAATGTTTTCAGAGAATTTTTAATATTAGCAATTTATTAAAACTTGCTTTGATTTGAGCCATTATTGCCATCATTATAATTGTTTTACTAGATCTGTTGTTGCCATTTATCTATATTCAAGTTAATGTTTACCTTCAATTTTTATATTTGCAGATGGTCAGAAAAGTAACAGAAAATTCACACCTTTCTCATACTTTCCAGCAGTAACTATTTAATAAACAAATGTCTGTGACCACATTTGGGGGCCCACAACAGATTAAGCTTAGGCAAAATTGAACACCTCTAGCCAGTTTGAAGTTTTGGAAGATGGTGATTTTATTTGATGTCATTAACCTGATGCAGGCCCCCAAATGTGGCTGGAAAGGTTTGTTTACCAAACAGTTACTGCTGGAAAGTGTGAGAAAGGTGTGAATTTTCTGTTATATGTAATTCCAGCTTGCAGATTAAAGGTTATAAGTAAAACATGGCCTGTCTGTTTTACTTATAACCTTTGATATAAAATAACTTTTGCTTGTTTGTTTGTTGAAATGTAAATTTTTTTATATAATAATTAAAAATTGTATTTTAAAGTCTTTATTTCTATTTCTACAAAAAACATCTCATTCCACATAAATATTATTTATGCAGTAACTAATCACCCATCTAACTTGTATTGTGGAGTAAACTGCACCAGTCGATCTACAGTAAATATTGATATATTAGTGGCATTTGATATTATCAAATAATCAACCATCAACATGATATTTTTGATATCAAAGTCGGGAAAATGATTCTTGGCTAATATTGTCATCGATATCAATATTACAATATCAGGATTTATTGAAATTTACAAAGATAATGTAATTCGAGTACGGAAGCTCCTCTATCTATGAATGTTTGGCTTACAAACGATTTTATTGTGTCTAAAATTTAAATTTTGCACGGATTATGAAGTTCTCTATCCAGTCTGTGTGGTGACATTGAAGTTGATTTTTAGCCAGTAATAAATAATTAATGTGGATTTATTTCTATTGTGTATTGTTATTTTTCATTTTTGCACAAATTCTGACGTTCCATTGCGTTGAAGTCAGTAACTTTGGATTAACGGCATTTTTCACTATTGTTGTAATTTTTATAAACTCTTGCGGTTGGGGCTCCAAAAATTCATCCAAAAATTAATAATAAATCTGGCAGTGAAGTTAGAGCCACACTTCTTGCATTTATTACTATGGAAAAGTAAACTTGACATTATAATACTTACTGCATTAGATGAAAAAAACTGCATTTGAAACACGCGTTAGTAAGCAGTAATGAGTGTAATGTATTCAATTAAGCACATTGAAGGATCAAACACTAACAATATATGGTTATTCTTTGTACAAATGTACCAAATAGGTTAGATTTCGACTTACAACAAAACCTTGGAAACTCAACCAGTTTGTAAGTAGAGAAGTGCCCACAGTTCAAAGTTTTTTTTTTTAATATATTTGTCACACTATTCCAATTTAGGTAGGCTTGCTTCCAATAGATGTAAAACTGTTGAAAGCAAGCTTTTTTCACTCTTACAATGTCTACATATTTTTTTATTCCAATCATTGCACACAAAAATGAATAAAAAGATGCCCAGTGAGCTATTATTACAGCATCTCCTCTCCTCAAACTAAATTACGGAACGGAATGTGCTATTCTGTGATTTGTTTGCTCTCAAACTGATTAATAATTTGTAAATTTGAGTGTTGGAAGAAAGCCAAGGAATGGTTTAAATGAAAAATTTATTGCAACTGATCATGCCTATTATGATATTTATACATTTATTTATGACCATATATTTCTAAATAATTGATAGACCAATTTGTATCTTTCTTGTGAAGCACATATTTCTCTTAGTTTATACAAAATCTCTATTGTTTATTAAGGTCATGCCCAATTTTAATAAAACGATTATTTCAGTCTCTTGCAATTCCAAATTTTCTTGTAGATTTTTTGTTAGCTAGAATTTATTGTTCATTTTTTATTCATTTACTATGTGTTGTGCTTCATACGTTTATCTTTTATATTCTCCAAATGCCTTAGAATAAGAACTAAATAACTGAATTTTATTCTAAAATCTAAGTTGTCATATATTTAAAGTACTGTAATTCCTTGCTTATGATCTGTATTGGTGTATAATCCATTTTTTTATTGATTAAAAAAGTTTGTCATATAATTTTCTCAAGTTTATGTCAACTTTTAGTTGCTTTCTTGGGGCATCAACATTGAAATAATGCAATTTGTAAGGGCATTTGATAATTAAAATGAAGTAATCGCTACAGTGACAGATCCAAAAAATGTCACTGTAACAAACTTTTTCCATATCGGTAGTGAAGAAAACAAACATTGCTGTCTGTCATGTCAAAAAGAATGAATATCTGTTGAACGGTCACAAACAAAACCTTTCTATCAGCGATGAACTTAAACTTCCAAATGTTTTCGGCCTTCGCCAAGGCCTGCTTCAGGTGCTGAACTAAACTTGCTTCTGACAAAGACCATTAGAGCCAGTTTAGTTCAGCTCCTGAAGCAGGCCTTGGCGAAGGCCGAAAACGTTTGGAAGTTTAAGTTCATCGCTGGTAGAAAGGTTTTGTTTGTCACTGTTCATTTCTCACACCAGTGTTTCTGAGAAGAAGTCTGTTATTGAAAATCTGTTTATTGAGAGTCACGGCAGTGATTCTGTTTCAAGTAAAAAGTCATAGACTGACTACATATACAGGAATCAAAGTTGCCGATTTTCAGGAGTCAATTTCTCTGCTTCTCCAAATGTCTAAAGTAATTCTGAATGTCTTGCTTGAAAGATAATTCTTTTCTTAGCTGGTATGCAAACTTTTGGGATTTTCTATGATGGGTTTGCCAAAATATGAGCAATTGAAAAATGCAAAATTTACCAGAAAAGCCCTGTTTTCTTCTTTTTCTTCATCCAGCAATTCAGACACTCCTAGAGGAAAACTGCTGGGTCTATAAAGTTCAAATTTTAAACTTAAGTCTCTCTCATTTTTGGTGAGATGCTGGCAAAACTTTCGGGTCGATAGGTCAAAGTTTCAGGTTCCCCATAGATCTATCTTACTTTTATCAGTTCATTTTATGCTTGTAAAGATTAAAATCTTGTGGGTATCACTTCAAAAGCACCAAGTTTACCTCGTAAAATAGTAAAGATGCCAAGTAAAAACTTGTCATAATTTTTACTTGGCACAATATTTTTACATCTCAGATGCTTTTACTTGGATTACAAATTTAAAAAAACAACCTTAAATCACTGGTAAAGAACTTTAATGCACTTAACGTTTGGACAAACGTTTTCAATCTTAGTAGATCCCAGTTTTAAAATTTTGTGGAATAACTAACCTAGAATCGTAAAAATGTTGCCATTGTTATATTTATAAAAGTTCACTTTAATTTATTTGCAATTAAGGTCCAGAAGGATTAGGATTAAGTATCATCGGAATGGGTGTAGGAGCGGATGCTGGTCTCGAAAAATTAGGAATCTTTGTTAAAACGGTGACAGAAGGTGGTGCTGCACACAAAGATAATAGGTGAGATTATGTAATTTTAAATTGTTTTATCTAGTCTAATCAAATTTTTCTTATAATCAATACATTCTTCTTGAATGTAATTGAATTATTTGAGGTAATAAATAATATTTAAATGTTTGTATTACAATAATAAAAAAATATAAATATAAAAAACACTAATACTAGTTTAAATTATTTGACTATAAAAGAAAAATAGATTTTATTGATGACTGAAGTCAAGTTGCTAGCATAGAAAACTACAGAAAACATATAACAATTACTGATGTGCACATGTATGATCATGTACATTGTGAGTGCATATGTGATGATATAATACAGAGGTCTCAAACTCAAATGCAGCAAAGGGCCTGTCAAATAGATGTATATTACCTTTTGCTGCCAGGTTTTTACAACTTACATAAACAGTTAGATACTTGAATTTTTGTTTTAATTTATGCAAGATATTAGAAAAAATTGTCAGGGCTGTGGGCCCGATACGAATCCTTAACGGGCCATATCCGGCCCTTGGGCTGCCAGTTTGTGACTCCTGATATAATATAATTAATATAAAAACTTATAAAATGGTTTAAAAGAACAAATATTTTGCAAACTTACATTTTTAATCTTATGCTTGTCTTCAGGCAAGTCAATTCAAACCAACCAAATCTAAATATGGATTAGGTTGGTTTGAATTGACTTGGAAAGTGATGCAAGACATCAGGATCAGCCCTCTGAAAGTAGTCAGGGCAGGATATCTAGTATTTAATACTTGTGATTTAAATCAGTGTTTTTCAACTGCCAGTCCACATAAAAATATTTGACTGTACGAAAACTGGCTCAGTTAATTACGGGTGACAATTAAGTAGTACTCTAGAGTTACCATATATATTTTGTTACATACAGTAACTGTAAATAAGCATTATTCATAGTTGCATATAATCACTCAGTCCACATAAACTTTTTCATATTTTACCAGTTTGCAATAAGTGGAAGGTTGAAAAACACCAGTTTAAATAACTTTAACAAAAACAAAAATTTTGTGATTAAAAGCTTAGAAAATACCTCTAATGCATTATCTAGGAATAGGTTAATAATTACTCTTAAGCACTTTTTAAAGCTTCTTTGCTTGGTATTCATACTGTTAGTTTAAAATTGTTCAGATTGGGTTGTAGGCATCTTTCTGCTCCAAGATCACCGAGAAGGAAAATAAGACTGCTTAAGGAGAGGATCAAACTCCCCAACCTTCTGATTACGAGACTTCCACATTACCTATTAATTATTCTATTTTATTACATGACCATTAAAAATATTAAAATTAAACATCTTGAAGTTGTCTTTATATTTGGAAGCAAACAATTTGTAAATTTATTTATAAAATTTTGTTACTTATTTTTGATGTATTAATTACAAAATAATAGAATAGCTAATGAAATTTTTTTGTTGCAAGCATAATTTATTTATTTTCTAAAATTTAAAACATTAATTGTTGTTTCGGGTTTGAAATGAATATGAAATATAAATTTCATTTCTGTTTTATGGCAGATTTTCGTGAAGAGACGTAAAAAAAGTTTTTATTTCTATTTAGAATTCACGTGAGTGATCAGATTATTGAAGTGGACGGAAAGTCGTTAGTTGGCGTAACTCAAGCGTACGCGGCATCAGTTCTTAGAAATACCTCTGGTATGGTCAGGTATGATAATTTAATTATTACTATAAATTGTGTGTGTAGTTAATTGCTTTACTATTAATTCTTAGATTTAATTACTTTTTTTTTTCTTGATTGATTGATATAATCTAATAAAAATAGCGATATTGGAGAAATAATAATTTATTTGGCTACAATTATCAGTCATCTTCACATTCATGTAACAAATTAACACTCTGGGATAAGGCACTTATTAAATGCTTTGCAACATTGTAAAATATATAGAAATTATTCAGATATATGTAGATTTTTTCAGAATAAATGTTATCAAGTCTTTATTATCAGAAATTAATTGGTATTTTGATAAATTTTATTTATATCATCAGAGTACACAAACACAAATTGTATCATTATTGAATTTATGGATTTATGTAATACACTAGCAAATAGTTCTTGAAGAAATACTTAAAACAAAAACTTTTTTCACAAAAAATATCAAATAATAATTATATCGTTACTGTTAAGAATTTTGCAGTGTACTTTAATTGATTTTCCAAAGCTTCATTTGATGGGATTGATGAAGTTTTGCAGACTTCACAGTTTTGTACCAATAATATTTAAAAATATATAAATATCTTGGAAGTAGTAATATTTTGTGTAAGAGTTTGTAATTCACATTAAAGAAATGATGTTTATAACATCACTTTTTTAATGCAAATTAATACAGAGTGCTTCAAAAATAGCTACACATCTTGAGGGAAAGATATTGGTGAACTGATAGAAGAAATATATAAGATCAGAACATTGAAATGTAGTCAAACACTTCAAGTTTTATGTCCGTTGGTTTTTTATGGTTTGATATGACTCATTTATGTGGCAGACATTCTTTATGGCTATACTGACTACAGATGGAATATCTGTAGTCAGTATAGCATCTCAGGTGTCACTTGAGCAACTGCAGTTGTAATTCGAGTTTGGAGTTTGATTACATTTGTAGATATTACCTGCAAATGTGATGAAATCTTCAACAAATCTCCACAAGAAAATATCTAAATCTATTAGATCTGGGGAACAAGGTTGCCGTGTTATTGGTGCACCCTGATCAACCCACTGTCCTAGAAATCTGTTGTTGATATACTCTCACATTTCTCTAAGGTAACGACAGGGTAAACCTTCTTGCTGGAAGCAAATGCATCCTTCCTGCTCATCTTGGTCAAGTCAAGGAATGAGAAACTGTTGGAGCATGTTCAGATACACAATGCTGGTAATAGTCATCTCTGCAATATGGCACACACAACATCCAGTCTCAGCAAAATTCTTGTGCCACAAGTAAATTGTAGACCGACTGGGTGGTTTGCTGTGATACTTGGTACAGAAATTTCTTTGAACCAAAACACACAACAAGCTGTCTCCACACCCATAAAAGAAGCCATCTTGATATTGGCTAATCAGACTGCAGTGGGAGTTTTCGGTGCATAGGTTTACGTAAATGAAAATTGATATATATGACTAAATTTGTCATTTAAAAATATTGTTCACATCCTTCAAATACATTTTTATTCTTCTACAAAGTTGTGTAGACAATTTGAAACAACCTGTATCATAATTTAGTAACTATAAACTGTCCAAAATATGTTTTACAAAATTTCTTCATATTCAAAATCCATAAATTCTTTAGGTATAATCTATGGAACAACTTTTTTTTGTCGGTAACTGCTGCAACTTTAACAGAGTGTCCACTCAACGAATCAATTAACAGTACACTATCATAACGGTTCAAACATTGAATTTGTTTTTCTTCAATTGTTAGAATGCGTATAACTACTTTTGCAAAATGACTGCAAGAATCAAATTTGCTGTGCAAAAATAAATCACTTTTTGCATTCTGCTTTTATTTTCACTAGTAAACACATATCCAAACTAAGCTCATAAGAGCAGGGTAATCGACTGCCAAACCCAGGTCATTGGGTATTAGGATATTAAAATTGTTATTTTATTTCATTTTGTTGAATTTAATATTTATTATTTTTTGATAAAAAAACAAGTGAAGAGATATGAGTTTTACAATTATATAAATTTTGACAAGGGCCAAGTTTACAATTTAATTTTTAACTTTATAACTCTGTTCGAACAATCTAAAATTTATTTTTAGGTAGTTAACCTGAAAGGTTTATCGGACAATCTCAAAATATTTAAGTTTGATTCTTCTTTTATCTCTTGTTTTTGTAGTTATTTAATTCACTTATAATTAATATTATACAAACATTAGAGGACATTTTAGTCATTTTTTTTGCATTTAATCTTTTGTGATTTCTTATGAATAATTTCCTTTTTGGTGTGATAGTCATAATAAACGTAGTTGCTTATAAATTTATTTTGTATGTAGATTTCTAATCGGAAGAGAAAAAGATGCCGAAAGCAGCGAGATTGCTTTATTGATCTCTCAGTCTCTGCAAGCGGATCGAGAAAGAGCTCAGCATCAGGCGATGAATCGCATTTCCGAAAAACTTCATCAAGAAGTACGTAATTTATGTAAATGTTTTGAAATTTTAGCTTGAAGTTTTTAATACTTTCTGTTCTCTTATATATTTTAAAATATGACGTTTTCCAAAACAGATGCTACCATTTTAAATTATCATAATTAGGTTAATTATTATCCGAAAAGTATGCAATATACACCAATTGATCGAGTAATCATTCAAGTTTCATCTTCATCTGCATTCATACATCTTATATACCACTTCTAGGAAGCATTGTAAACAAAAAGGGCAATTCTACAACAGAGAAGGCATTCTGCAGTTTGCAAAGTTGAAATCACTTGTCGTGCAACACGAGTAATCTTCAGGAGCTGTAGAATTGTGGTTGCTGCGGGAAGAATGACACTGAATATACCATAACAAGCATAGGAAGAATTTAGTGTCAATTGGATGTGTGCCATGTGAAACGAGGTGTACTGTACATATTTCAAAATTGTATTGGGCAAATGTGAAACTTGAACGGTTTTCCAATGTTTTAATGCATGTTATGACATTCTCAGATAATAATTAGCATAATTACAATAATTTAAAATAGTGGCATTCTTTTTGAAAGACTCGTATTAATATATTTTTACTAATCATTGGTGTTATACTTGTTTCTGACTTGTTTTCATCACTATCTGTCATATATCAAAAATTCATATTTAATTTTTTAATCGTCAGCTTTATTTTCATTTTAAATTATTGCTATTCATTGCTATGATATCAGTAATTTTATTTGTCTTATTAATTAAACATTATAATCTGAATGTATTTATTTGAGAGAGAATGATATTGAAACATCTTGTACTATTTGTTTACATAAAATTTGCTAATTTCTTCATTTTTACTTCAATAATAAGTTGTAATTCATACCTTATAAAAAATTCTAATTTTCATATACAGGAAATTGTTCAGGGTTGTGAAAGTTCTAGTTTATCTCAAGATTCTACACCCGAAGAGGGAGAAGACGGCCCGACGGTGGAGGTGTTCGATTTGGCAAACGACAGCAGCGATTCCGTGTCACCCGACATGGATGTCGAAACACTGAGAATTAAATTACGTGAGGTATAAAATTTTAAATAATTAACCAATTAGAAATGTTAAAAACGAATACAAAAACATTAGGAAATTGGTGTTAACTAGTGATGGGATGATACCAAAAGTTTTCCTGATTCTGCTTTCAATTCTTCCAAAAGTTTATTTTAGCTTAGAAAAATTAGCGTGTTACGTTATGGCATGGTACATTCATTTATTAATAAACATCAAGCTTAAGAATGGAAAATGATCGGAAAATCCAATCTTTCAATAGAAACGTGAAAAATCTCCATTTATATGTGGATTCACATGCTTTTATTGTGTACTATAAAATAAATTTATAACTTTATTTTGGATAAAATTAATATTGCAACCCTACCCCAAAGAAATTGCAGCCAATTCTCTTTTACTTAACGAACTATCCCATTGTGTCATGTAAGGTCGCCTCTCAAATTATTGTGCGTGGTAGTGATGGAACATATGTACAGATAGAATGTACAGTAGATACAGAATACAGATTGCCGGTCAATGCAAACCTTAAAATCACCCTATCTCTCTTAAAATGGGGACAGTTAATTAATACCAATCGAGTGCATTCTCGCATTGCTCTGGCTACATGAAGGAAAAGTGTGCCGTGACAGATGTCACCTGGATCACATACGCTCTGCTTGTCAATGTGAAAGTTTCTAATAAACTAATATTTAATTGTTGTTGTAATATCATAATTTTAAAAATTTTTAAACTTTGACTGAAACAAATAATTAATTTTCTTATAAAATGTGAAAGAATCATTTTTAAGAATTGGAAATCATGGTAAGATTTTCTCAATTCCGATTCCAATAGCCAGAAAATGTCTGCTATTTCCGATTCCGATTAATCATCCCATCACTAGTGTTAAACTGTAATATCTTTTTTTATTAATTAAAATACAAGAAGATACAAAATGTTTTATTTAGAAATTTTAATACCATCATAATTTTTGAAGGTTTAATGTAGATTAATCAATTCTTATAAGCAATATTTAACAAAAAATAGTACAACATAATTCTCAACTATTAAATTTTCTTCACGTTAACATCTGACAATATAATTTATCATTCAAAATGAAGAAAGAATTATATCTTTTGTTGTTATTAATATACTTCTAATTAGATATTCCAAACTTTAAAATTATAAATAATCGGACATTAGCTTTTGGAAAAACCATCAAAAAATTTTATTTTTTATAATTTATGTTTTGGATAACTGTAAGAGTCGTTAAAATATGCATAATTATAAATTATGGTCTTTCAAAATAATATTTATTTGCCATATTTCCTGCAGTAATTGCCCACGTAAATATTCTTGTAATAATCACCCATCTAACTGCATTGTGAGTAAACTACACTGGTATATTAGTGGCATTCAATATTGTCGAATAATTGATTATTGAAACGATATTTTCTGGTATCAAAGTTGGAAAAATTAATACCAGCCAATGTTGTTTCGGTGTTTGATATTACAGATATTGGGAAATATCAAAATTTATGAAGTTAATTAAGACTTTCAAATTAACTATAACAAACATCAAACATCACACAGCCCGATAAGTATATAGAAACGTCCAACGATATCCCGATCATTTAGACAATCGTTGGATGTTTCTATGTTCAAATTACTTTATATATATATATATATATAAGTCATGATATTTCAATTTAAATAGTTTTACATTTTTTTTTCGTTCTTACATCGTTAATTCTTGTTTAATCTAATAATCACCCATCAAAAAATAAAAAAAAAACCTGTGGGCAATTATTGCAGAAATATGGCAGCCTAAATCAATGGCTACGATTACACTCCTTTAATTAATAATAGTCTTTTCTTTTATTGTTTCATACGCTACACAAATGATACAACTATATTTATTTTATAACACTTTTGATATAAAAATAACTAGTTTCTCATTTGTATTGGAGACAAGATTGAAGGATGGTATGATAAATAAATAAGTGTTTAATTTCAGGCTCAGTATAAAAATGCTATTGCAGAAGCAGAGTTGCGCAAAGTAAAGGAAAAGGTGTGTGTAATTAATTTCGATATTTTTAATTAATTTAAGGATTTTTTAATAGTCAAGGCCTACTTAAGGTTAGTTTACACCGAGTGGATAGTGAACGAGAAAAGCGATTTACTTAGCAAATTTGATCCACGCAATCAAAAACTAAAAGCAGTTCTTAATTTTAAGTAGCCAATCATTTGCAAGCAAAAGAGAAAACGTCATCTTAAAAAGCAAAATAGCTGCTTCCAATATTCTGTAATAACCATGTTTATTTATTTATTGAGAAAAAAGATAAGTCAAAAAGAAAATGATGCTAGGTGAGAGAAACGTTAAAAAATTGTGAATTACGACATCTACTCTTGTGTGAGAAAGTTTCTGTAGCCATCTTTAAAACAACAAGAACCATGTGACAACTAGTGGGAATACAATTGTTGGCAAAATATTTTCGCTAGCAAAAAAGCTCAATGATTTCAAAGTTCAAAGTGATTCATAAAATAGTAAAATTCACCAAAAACGATGTCGCATCTGATGTGTTGTTCGTTCCGTTTTTCGCTTTCACTGACAAATTGCACTTGGTGTGAACTAAGCCTTATAGTTTAACGCGTGCCAGTTTTTAGAAAAATGATTATTGCTGTTAAATGTCATGAGGAATAGGAATTTTTAAAATTTTCTATCGAAATTTATAAACATAAGTGGTAAAGTGTCAATTTTATAGAGAAAATAAATGACAATTTTTACAGAAAGCTAAATTGTTTTCAAACTTCTACAAGAGTTTTTGTTATATGTCTTTACATGATTATAGAAACATCCCAGAAGCTGGAACTTCATATACTAGTTTATGCTTATCACACAACTTCCAGTCATTGAGTATTCAATCACAAACATTTTTTGGCTTCGTTTGGAGGTCCTCTTCAGTCTTCTATAACTCTTGTCATTTTGCTCAAAGAGGTCCTCCAAATGAAGCAGAAAACATTTGCGATTGATTACTCAATGTGCCAAAAGTTGTGTAGTATTCGTATAGTTAAAAAATAAAAATTAATTACCGACTTTCAACTTCTAAACAGTTGATGGCATTAGAACGTATCGAGTCAGAACGGATCGAATTCCTGAGACAGTTAGAAGCGGCCCAACTGCAGCTTCAGGAGGCTGAACGTACGCTTCAGGCCACCTGTCAAGAAATGAATCATTACCGTCAGATGTTAGAAGAAAGCCAGGGACAATTTATTTCTTTGGAAAGGAAATATATTAAGGCTAAGAAACTTATAAAAGAGTTTCAACAAAGGTAACAATAATGAGATTTATTATTTACTCCACACGAAATTATTGATATATTTATAATATAAGTTAGAATTGCGTATTATTTTAATGAGAAAAACGTTAATTTCCTCAATGGCTGGCCTGCGGCTCCAATCTAAACATAATCGAGAATGTTTGGTACCTAATGTTGTCCAAAATTTATGCCAACAATCAGTACGACAGGCTTGACGACCTAAGGAAATCTATCAAACGATGCGCCGACACATTCCCGGCAAAAATTATTGTCAATCTCTACAAATCAATTCCAAAACAATTTTATACAGAACAACTTTATTTTCTTTTATAGAAAATAAAGGTGGTTCTACAAATTATTAATAGGTTAATAAAATTTGTAATCAATTACATTTTTGTATTTTTTGATCAATAAACAAGATGTAACAAAAACTTTTGGCCACAAGTGTATAGATGAAATCACATTATACCGTATACACATTAATAATTAATAACAAAATTTAGAGTTTTAAGAGTATATAGCTATGATGGCCAAACTGTGGCTTCCATACAGCCTACTTATACAATTTATTTTTGTAAATTTAAACCCCCTAAATTAAGTATCTCTAGCGTTTATGCTATATAACTAAACGGACAGTTTATGGCAACTGCATTAATGTCCGCATTACCCACTGCATTGTGGCTACTACGTTTAATTTTTGATTTTTCTGAATTACATTTTAATTTAAAATAAAATAGTTTAAATTATGTTCTTTATACACAAGGTAGAATGAATTTTCAAGAATTCAAACTTTAAATGCAATGGAAATTGTATTTTGATCAATAGAGAATCCCACAATGTCCTAAATTAGACAATGTATTTGTTACTATTAAAATTTCTGGCTTGGTAATAAGATGTAGAGTATTTATGCTCTGGAAACTTAAACAAGTTGACGACTACTACTATAAAACAATTAAAGAATTACTGTTGTCAGTTTGCTTACTGTGTATATAAGTATTGAACAAATTCCAGAATATTTGATAATTTATATTCATAACAGCATTTAAAAATACATGATTTTAAACTACTGTACTAAAAACAATGATAACATAAGTTTAAAAACTAATCTGCAACTCTTTGAAAACTACATATCGCACACTTCATTTCCTGATATCATAAACAAACAAATAAAATTGAATAGTAATTAAATCTGAGCAATATAACAATTTTTTGTACCATTAGTCCACTCCATAAATAACAAATTTTATTTTATTTTATTGGTGGAGTAAACAAAAACATACTTTTACTCATAGTACTAAGCACTTACAAAGTGCATCGTCAGACATGAAACCGATAGCATTTGGACGGAACTTGGATTCTTAAGTCCAAAAGCATTCAGTGCTGCAAATAAAACTGTGTTTTTGTGACTTCGATAAGTAGAAAAATAGTAAATTTTTAAACTACAAAAAATTTTACGAGCGTCTCTGACAGTCTTTGTATTTGAAGTTTTCTATCAAAATTTTAAAAAAATTTATTAACAAGTCCGAATATTTCTCATTTGATATTTAGTGCGCTAAATTTATATTTCTGTTGAAAAAAATATAATTTACTTAATTAGATTTACTATTTTTTATTTAGAGAACAAGATTTTTTACACCAAGAAGAATTTCACATACAACAACTTCAGGAAAAAGATCACGAATATAATGCTTTGGTGAAAGCACTTAAAGACAGAGTAAGTTTCTTTATCTGTAGACAATTCCATGTTTACTATTTTATATGAGACAATAAAGTTTATATGTTTGTGTGTGTTTAATATATATAAATAGAGTTTCATTTTAATATTTTCGTGTGTTTTTAGGTAATTCTATTGGAACACGATTTAGTTGAAATGCAAAAGACGGCCGGATTGCCCGTTCAACTGCCATATAACAATAACAACATGAAGCAAATCACTTCTCAGATAAAAAGAGAAATTTCTTATACATCGAAGCCAAGAATTGCAACTAACATTTCATGTAAGAATTTTTACATTTTCGGTATTTAAGATATATTGGGTCGTCACAAATGAAATGGCTGTTTTTTAAAATTTAAACTTTAACTTTTCANGTGGTCTTGTTAGTACTGTAGTCACGGGCTATCGTATATCATATCTGCATTTCAGTTCTAGTCTCTTAATAACAGTAAAGTTTACAAATGTCATTAGTTCAGTCTGTTTTGATAGAACAATCTGTCCTTTCTCCCTTTCCAGTAGAACGTGTCCATGTTTCTTTCAGAAGTCACCTTATGGCCTATCTTTGGGCACAGTTTCCTTAGCTTGGAGGTGGGCTGGGCCAGTGAAAGAGTCAGTAGAGTCCGCCAACTCTGGATATTGGTCCCAGTGATAAGATGGTCATTGTCCAGGTCTTGACGTAATCTTATATACAATACTTCCAGGTGAGCTCTCACTAACATTTCATGTAAGAATTTTTACATTTTCGGTATTTAAGATATATTGGGTCGTCACAAATGAAATGGCTGTTTTTTAAAATTTAAACTTTAACTTTTCATGTGTGAACAATGCTGTATGTTTGCAATTGGAAGAACACGCATATAATGTGTGAATTAAAAAATGCAATCTCATTTATATTGCGAGTTTCACATGTTTAAGAGTACTTTTTCTGGCAGTGTGGAAAAAAAAAAGGAAATTGAATAATTTTATGAATGTAAGTGGGAATATGCACCCATCGAATCAGAACATCAATTGACTGTCCTGGAAATTGCGGAAAGGTTGAATGTACCGGACATTATTCAACTGTTTCTCTACATTTAAACATGTTAGAGAAAGTCAAGAAGCATGATTTGGAGGTCTGCGGTTCCTTAATTATTCATCACAAAATGAACGTATTCAAATGAAATTCTTCTGTCTTATTCTCCAGACTTTCTGCCAACAGACTATCACTTTTTTTTTTATTCATTTGAACAGTTTTTTGGGGAGGAAAGTCTTCAAGGAAGAAGATGCCTCAAGTACCTTTCAAAAGTACCTTTAATGACTTTTTGGCTTCTCATTCTCCTGATTTCTATCAAATTGGCCTTAATGCATTTCTGTTGTATTGGGAAAAGTATATTAATGTTGGTGGAGACAATTTCGATTGAATACGTAAGTTTTAAATGAAATTAATAAACGTTCAAAGTCGGAAGTAAAATTCGGCCATTTCACTTGCAACAACCTAATAATAGTATTCAGAATGAAGAGATGATGATNTCTGTAATTAGTCTGGAAACAAGGGGACCCAATTCTTGCATTCTGTGAAAATGGGTAAGGTTGACTGTAACATAATAATCTTTATCTTAGTTATCGTTACTTTTGCCCGAGCAACACCGGGCCCACCTGCTAGTTTTATTATAAATTATAGGTGATTTGAACATTGCAAATAATTTTGTGCATTTTGTAGCAATGCATGCCACAATATTTTTTAATTCATTTATGCATGCTACTGCATTGGAACAAATAATTTTCTGTAATAAAATGAGTAGTTTTTTTCAATTTTCTTCTTTTATGATAAAATTTATGTAATTTTGCTCACTTAATTCAATAAGTTATGTCCTGTCATTAGAAGATATGTATAGAAAAACCCAGATTGAATAAGCAAATATATAACCACTATTATATTGAACGTGTATTTATTAAAAAAGTAAAGACAGACAGAAATGATTTGTGCGCGATTCGATGAGAACTGTTAACATCAAATCAAAAATTGTATTAAAACTGTAAATACAACTAATAACCCGAAAGTGTTTTTGAATTATAATTGTTTAAGTTAACTGACGCCGGCCGTGGCACCCCAGGCAGCTGTCTAAGATAGCTTGGGTTGACCTCAACCACCTCTCGTAAAGACTGTCATTGCTCAGAACTGTTGGCAGTTGCAAAGGAAGGGGGTCTTACAGTAAACAAGCTTGTAGAAATACATTATTATCCATTTTAAGTTGAAAAAAGAAATTCTATAAGACAGGTTGTTAAAAATATTGTATATATTAGCGTATAAGTAAACTTTTTGAGTCTGGAAAAAATCCAGTATCGGGGTCGACTTATATGTCAGCTACAACACAGTTTATCACTCTGTGGGAAACAGGTGGAGCTGTGTTCCTAACAGTCACCATGCATCGTTTACTGTAACTCTGGCAAACTGTCGTAAATATTACAGACTAAAGCTCATTTATGGTTAACTTCCTTAACATAGCGATTAGCATAATAAAAGATTCTATATTATATATAGAGCTATTAGAAACAGTATGTAATATGTTAATATCTTGATGAAAATGGTGTGGTCTTGTTAGTACTGTAGTCACGGGCTATCGTATATCATATCTGCATTTCAGTTCTAGTCTCTTAATAACAGTAAAGTTTACAAATGTCATTAGTTCAGTCTGTTTTGATAGAACAATCTGTCCTTTCTCCCTTTCCAGTAGAACGTGTCCATGTTTCTTTCAGAAGTCACCTTATGGCCTATCTTTGGGCACAGTTTCCTTAGCTTGGAGGTGGGCTGGGCCAGTGAAAGAGTCAGTAGAGTCCGCCAACTCTGGATATTGGTCCCAGTGATAAGATGGTCATTGTCCAGGTCTTGACATAATCTTATATACAATACTTCCAGGTGAGCTCTCGTGGATGAGAGACTCCAAACCAAAAATTATCTTCAGAGGTCCTCGTCCGTTTTAAAGAGGATCATTCAGCCCAATGAGGGTCAAATCTGGAGCAGGGTCAGTAGGTCCTCCAGAAAAATTAGACCGTTCAAGAGGAAGACAAAATCGTTTTTTTTTTCCCTCAAACCATTAGGAACTAAACAACAATAAATTATCTGTTGTACTGTGGGTTTAAGAGACAATTTAAATGGTGGGTACAGATCTAAATCAGAATTTTGAATTGAAAATTTATAAGTTGACTTATACACCAATTTATATAATTTATTTTAGTTTTTAAGTAAAAATAACATGAAAAATTTCATTTGATACTGTATACTACGTATTCATTTGATACAAAATACTACATATTTCAAATGAAATGATATGTAGTATTTTGCATTATAAGTACAAATCTATAGTAAAATATTAATAAGACAGGGTTTTTGAAATGTACAGTGAGATAATGTAAAAAGCAAAAATTTGTTCAAAACCTGTTTATTCAGGAAGCCAAAAATATTATATTTCTAAAACATTTTTGACTCCACTTGGATCACTTTCCCAGGAATTGTTTGTAAATTCTTATAAGCTGGAACAGAACATCAAATAAAATCAAATCAAAGTACGGCATTCAAATTCGAATGATGGTACGTTACAGGATGACTAATGACCATTAAAATGCAATATAAATTAAGTAAGTAATATTTTTGGCTTCCCAAAAAAGCAGTTATAATTTGTAAATTGTCACGATGCCAATTATTATTATTATTATTATTATTATTATTATTATTATTATTATTATTATTATTAATTCATTTTCTTCTTCTTATTTTTTGATTAGTGTTGAAGAAATTAGAAATTGATGTATCCGACGGAGAACTTTCAGACAGCGACGTAAACAAGTTTGCCCTGAGTCCCGACGAAGAAGACGAGGAGAACAGCAAAAGATCTACCGTGGAACGAAAACCCATTAAAGAGGACTGTTTCGATAGGGCGGTTCCTCAGACTGAATTATTAGACATCAGTGCAGCTAAAGCAAAAGCCGAATTAGCTAGTAAAGGAAGTTTAGCTAATCGTCAGCCTCCTTCTTTAAAGAAACAGTCTAGTAATGGAAGTATGGAACTAAGTGTAAGTTAAGTTTCAATTATATTTTTAAGTAATCTAGTAGTGTCATAACTTTAAATATTAAAAACATAAACTTACACAAACACACACATATAAATTATATTTTTTATTATTGAAGAGTTTACATAAATCAAATTTATTTAGCTCGTATTGATTTTTCCTGCCGAGAAAAATATGTAAAGATGTAGCTGTACTTACACTAGTATCGTTACTCCTCTTTGCACGGCCATTTTTATCTAAACTGATGTTTAATTCAGTAAATTTTCAGGATATTAATTTTGTATTTTTTAATTTTATACTATTCTGAGGGCATGGAAATAGAAAAAGAATAATATAAACTGTCTTTTGGTGTTATTTTAGTGATAAAGGAAAATATGCAAACTGTACGACTTAACAATTGTTAGTTCTTTCGGTAAATCACAAAAATTAAGGAACAATCCACAGAGAAGAGACAGACACAGTCAACTTCCTGTACCTTTTGTAGTAACAAAAATTTCTTGATTAGCCAATTAGCAAGCATCGCTGTTTGTATTTAGCATTCTAGCAGCAGAAAGTAGAAATTCTGATGCGTTAAATAACTTTTTATGTTTGTTAAAGTCTGTTTTCATAGATGAAATTGTTACAGTTGTTTATTTTAAGAAACACATGGGTATCCCTCATACAACATGGTTTGAAAATTGGGGATATCCCCTTACACCACAACTTTTGGTTTCTCTCTAATGTGTTTTTGGAAATTCTCCATACAAAATTTCACGATTTTTAAATGTAAACTTTGTTATTCAATACATTTTTTTTTATTCAAGTAAGCATGCATGTTATTTTAAATTTGCCCACAAATTTTAGAATATTGAAATCTTCAATCGGTTCTGTGCCTTTCATTAGGTTTACTTTAATGAAAACTGCTAGGACAATTTGTTTTCTTCCTTGTCTTCGCTTTCCTAGCTAGAACAAGGAAACTGGGTGTTATTGTCGTTACTTTCAGACTTATGCCTATAATGCTATTATGTTTTGTTTTAACGGATTAATCTTCATATTTAGTAAAGTTTATTTAAACATTTTTAGGTAAGTGTTATTAAACTTTTTTTTAATCATAGGTAAGCAATCATTCATAAAATGACAAATGAAATTTGGTGATATCTCGATACTTGAACACAAATTCTGGAAAAAGATCGCTTGGTACTCGGCCGAACAAACGCGACCTGCTAGAACATATTTTTTATTTTGTCGTCCATAAAAAAATTTTTGATAAAAATAAGAAAAATGAAGATGTTGCCGATACTTTGTAAAAAGAAAACATTTTCATTTAACTAAAATTATTATTAATGCATAATACAGTACTTATATTTCTGATTATTAAAGGAATCGATAATTAACAAACATATATATTTCCAATCAGTAATTTTTCTCTTAGTCACGAAGAACTAACCCCACGTTTTGCATTATTCCTTCGTTTTGTATAGCATGGATTTTCGTAACACTGCAGTTTTTCAGAACATAACTACAGTGTTATAACAGGGATGCCCGTACTTATTTTATCACACTATCTGACAAGTAATATGGTTTTATGTAACTGTGGATGTTGTATTTCATAATATTCTGTGTAGACCAGAAAGTTTAAAATTAGAATGGTAACTGTGACTTTTTGAGGAGTTCGTATCAATTCAAAAGAAATATTTATAGGATAATACACTATTGTTTGTTTGATCAATATACAGTAGAGTCTGTTATCTGTATAACAGATTTGTGGGTGTCAGATTACAGCTGGTTGTTGGATTACTGGATTTTATATGTATGTACTGTACATCTGTGTCTCTCCGTTGCACTAATCAGATGATAACACGAAAATTTCATGTAAAATTTCCTAACTGACACAGACAGGTGCCGTAACAAAATGAGTCATTTTTTTCAATCTTGAGGTAGATAGATTTCTTAACATTGCCACTATGCACGATGATATGGCATCGTGCATGACCACAGTCTACCTTCACTTCAGTTTTAGCTCATGGTCTTAAGACTTTAGATATGAGTTAGTGCTTAAGCACATCTAAACAATTCTCATTTACAGAATACCAACATGTCAGATTGTTATTGGGTAATTCTAGACTATTGGTATCTTTTTAGAAGATGCCAGATTAATGAACTTCATATGTAATTAGAATATTAATTAAGTAGAAAGTAATTTGTTTTTTTTTTTTTTTTAATATGAAATTTAAATTATGACATGTGTAAACTTTATTAAAAATTGAATTATTTTCAGTCTCCAGGCGAAAGAAGTTCTGAGAGCTCTCTGTGCGATGATAGCGAGGATGAAATTATATTAAGGTAATTTAAAATAGCAAACTAATCTTAATTTATTTTTCGGTTGTGCAAAGAATTCTATATGATATACAATATGTTAAGTGCAATTTAACTTAAAAGCTTTCAACTAAACATTATTATGCTCTATGCCAATGAATGTATCGAATGACTCGTGCAATCCAGACGAGCAAACATTTGTATTATTTCCTATGGAGATCTTGTGTTTGGGAAGCTTTGTATATTTGTATATGTTTAGTCACATATATTTAGTACATTCTACACATTATGTCAAGTAGAGTTTATAAGTTATGATGGCTGAAAAATGCAAAAAAAAAATCGTTATCTGGTTATGAAACTACAAGTATTATGCAAATACCACTTTCAGTTTGTTGACATCCTCAATAAGAACCATTTTAAAAAGGGCAGATAAGATAGAAGCATTGGCAATTTTATCCACAAAATTTTTAGCTACAAAAATAATTAGAAGAAATGGAAAAAATGGTTTAGTATAGGCTTTCTCAACATCTTTAAGAAGAAACTGGAGACAATTCAGAAAATTCTGTGGCTAGAAGAACATTTATAGTGTAGGTTTTATTGATGAAGCGGCCAGTTTGAATATCAGAAATTTTTCTTTTATTATTATATTTTAATTTAGTGCTGTAAATAAATGTTACTTGGCCAGTCTTTTTACTTCATGGCCGAACAGCAATGGTGCTCATTAACTGTAACGACGTGACACAAAGTAACATTTATAACATTTACTTATATACAAAGTAGTATTATGTGTAATAAATTGCATTTTTATTTGGTTTATTCTCTGTACTACATGCATTTAACATTACATATTACAATCATAGTTTAAATATGTTACTTCAAACATCTGTTGAATGCTGTTTATTTTATATATCTTAAATGAGGCAATTTCTGTAGTTGCTATTGTACTTAATGATTGTAATATGTAAACGCTGAAGAGAGTTATATGTTGTGAGTTAAAACATGTACATGTTGTTATTTGCAATATTTTTGATTTATAATAATGTATAGAGAAAACAGTAGATATGTAGAGACAAAAGAAACAAGTATGACCCGAATTTAAAAGATTACAGAAGATTTTCAAATTAAATAGAAATTTAAATTGAAGATTTAACCAGGGCTGTGGAGTCGGAGTCATGGAGTTTTGATGATTGAGTCGGAGTCGTCAAAAAATCCGCCGACTCTGACTCCTTTTTACTTACCAACTTGTTACGTATATAAAACGGAAAAGTACTGGAATCGTGTCAAATTTGACCCTCCAAATTTTTTTTTTTTTTTGCAAATCTACACGTTTGGAGACCTCCTGAACCCCTGAAAAAAGTCAATAAAGGGGAAAAATTCGCGCGCGCGTGTGTGTTGGCGTCTGATTTGTTTAATTTCATTCTGACATATTGTTTAATATCTCAGAATGGGTAAAGTTTAAGAAACGAAATGTGGGACTGTAGCTTGCATATAAAAGGGCATTAATACTATTAGATTTTGGTTCTTAATTAAAGGTCGACAGGGTGAAGAGATAAAAATGGTCATGTGTCATATTTCTTAATAAATATTTTACTCGTTATTAGCGTTCAAAATTAAAAAAAAATAAAATAAAACTCGTCTCTACCCTCAAAGTAAGCTTTCTAGCCATTTTATAATAGTACAGTAAAACCCGTTAAGATGTTCTCGCCTAAGATGTTAGAATGTATATGGGAACACGATTTAGTTCAAACACTTTAACGCTTAATAACTAATTCCTGTCTTAAACCATCTGACTCCGACTCTGACCATTCTGACCACAAAAATTATTAGGCTTCAAACAGAATAAACAAAATCATGCCCCCCACCAGTAGTGTAGCGAAGGGGGGCGGCAGGGGCAGCCCGCCCTGGGCGGCACTTTTTAGGGAGCGGCAAAATTTCACAATAAATAATAATAATAACTTGTAAGAATTTGAACCATTTTATTTCATATTTTTGTCCACCTACGATTCGGACCGATTGAAATGAGCACGGAATAGTGTTACCATCCGACTCGCCGTCCGGGGATATCGTGTGCAACCTGTCGACCTTTTTTTCTTCTTTATTTTTTTGCTTGTACGATTCATTCGTAATCACATACACCTCCAATATCCAATAGAGCTAGGTCACTCGCGTTACTCCTATCCAAGTCTCCCTAATCGCTAACTGTAACTGATTTAGAATCGGCATGCACTGCATGTTATTCTTCTAATTGCAAAATGACATTGCGCATACGACAGGAATTTCTGTTCGAACAAACCTCACCTGCCGTCCGGGTCAGCTATTTTAAAAAGGTGGCAACACTAGCACGGAATTTTTAATTACTTATTCTGTGACGAAACTGAATTTTAATCTTTTAAATTGAGATACCTAAATAAGGGGGCGATGAAATTTTCCTCCTCCCCTGGCGGCTGACACCCACGCTACTCCACTGTCCCCACACAGTCTAACATCCACACATAGAAAAAACCTCGAATCTTTTGCATATCTCGAAATTTTACAGTGTCCTGAGTCCAAAAATGTAAAAATTTGGGAGGAGTCATTTTTTGACCGAGCGCTACACTTTTCCTCTGTTATATATAACAGCCGGAAAAGTAAAAATTATTGAATACATATTTATATATTACTTAGAGAGGTCTTTTAGCTTTGGAATAAAAAGTTTCTATGCTGTATCTTTATTACAACTCTATTTATTGAATATTTTATTCTGAGGTCACATGATGACATCAGAATTTCCGGGTCTCTTTCGGTAACAAGTCTGTCCCGAGTCGGAGTCGGATGGTAAGGAAGAGTCGGAGTCAGTAGATTTTTACGCGACTCCACAGCCCTGGATTTAACTACTTCTGAGCTGCTGTTTTTAATCTTGCCATAATTTTCAACTTTCAAACTTTGACGTGGCCAACTGTCGATCTTTTTAACTTGAATATTTTTGCTGCCTTGCAGACAAATTTGGATCTGCTTCAAACAGTTCTTTAAGCTTATCAGTCACTTCCTTAGTCGAAGTCTTTTCAGGATGTCCAGGATTTTTCTTTAAATTAACTTCATTACTGTCTTTATGTCTGCTTTATGCAGTGTTTGCTTTCTTTAGTGAAATGTTTGGTGGTTTTTTTGACACCGACTGTTCACATTTTCGTAGAAATGCACTATGCGCTCGGCAAATGCTTTATCATTTTTTGTCCTCCTGTTAAGATTTTATTTTAAAAATATTACACTAACACTTAAACTTCTGGAAATAAATGCTATTATATACATTTTCAATCTATTGAAGAAGGCCTTGAAGTGGTCAAAATTGTATGTATTAGCATTCATTTGCTAAAGTTTAGATTAGTTTGATGTATTTTCAACATAATTTAAAACTACAATAAATTACAGAATCCATGCCGGTGGAAATTCTGAAGAAACTAACCAAATGGAAGGAAGTTCAGACAGTGTATTTGTATTGACTGCCGAACACATTCAGTTCTCTTCTTTGGAGTCGTCTGCATTGGAATCTTCTGGAAATATTTCTTCAGTTTCTTCGCTAAATTGCCATTCGAAACCTCTGACTTTTGTAGAAGAAATAAAGGCAGCTGTTTTAGAACGACAAGCTAAAGGTAAGTATAAGCATAATTTACTGTTATTAACAAAATATAATCAAACAAAATTTGAATGTTTTCAAAAAGTATTAAAATCATGAAAATGTCTGGAAAGATTAATTGCATTTTTTGTTTCAAAGTTTTATTTTTTTTTTTTCAGATATTTTACTCCTTAGCTCTGTTAATTACATGCCTTTCTGTGTCACATTTGCTGTCTTTGTGTTTAAAATTTTACATTAGATTTCTCATTGCAAAAGTGATTGATATATTAATATCAATACAAATTTGTTTCCTTTCTCTAATTGTTATTTTGGAGAAATTTATACCAACTTAACTATTTGTTCAAATCCGATTCACTAACAATAACGACAAGAAATATATTTTGGTTTTAGAATTTTTTGGAAATTGTTGTTAATTAATCGAGAAACTTTAGACACACATTTTACTTGATCTCACACCTTTGTGCCTTTCTCAACATAAAATTTCTCTTTACATTTGTCCACATTATTATTACAATCCTCATTTGCATCCAGTCGTCACAGTTTTTGGAACAAAACATCATTATCGGAACAACCGATGTTATTATTATATTCCTTGTCATTTGTTCCTTCTCCCCCTTTCAAAATTGCTGTCATTTCGTTTCTTCTCATAATTTAACAAAGTTTGGAGTATATACAGTATATATGAATATATTTTTGGTCTAAAAAATACTCAAAATATTTTGATTACCTAATTACTATGATACTTATCATAATTAACATATTATTTTATTGTTTTTGAGAATGAAAATCAAAAGATAAAATAATTTTATATATTCTTCCACAAATAATGCATTTTTGAGATTAAAAGCAATGTTGGAATTATATGGAATTCCATTAATTAATTTTGAACTCTACAAAACCGGACGCCGTTTTAAACGGATGGATCGAGGCACTGGAAAGTTTTACAGAAACGTTTTTGATGTCTGCCCAGTCCATTAATTAGCATCATTAATTAACCTCTATGTGTTCTTTCAAAATTTTAAGGCGTACTTAATTGTGTAGTAGTAATTTTTATAACTACAAAGTCAACAAGATTTCCTTTAAGGTTTTAAGGTTCTTTTGAGAGTTGTGTCTTGTATATTTTCTTGCAATCTGGTGAAGATTTTAGAATAGTCAACAAGCTTATAAAAATAATAATAATAAATCAGCAATTACACAGAACTCTCCCAGAAATCTTTGGAAGATGGATAAGGTGTCATTCCCGCATTCTCTCTTCTACAGGCGTCATATCCCCCCACACTACACAAAAGTCTGGGAACATTACAATTGAATAGAAACACATAGATCACACTATGGAAGGCCACTTTACATGTCATATTGTAGGAAATTCTTGAATACAGACACATGTACCGACACACTTATTTATTTAATTTTTGCCCTTGTTTTGGTTGCTATGCTTTGACTCTGGTCTGGCATAGTATACAGCAACTGGTGTCAACCGAGTATAATTCACTAAACCCAACATAATAATAATAATATCATGATTTCATTGTTTTTCTAGTGTTTATTTCTAAACTCTGATGTTAACTTAGACAAAAGCATCTTGTAGATCTATCCAATTCACATCTTTCTTATATTCTTTTGTTAATTTTTGAATGATGAGATCTTTTTTTATGATTAAAACTTGGATAAAGTGAAAAATTTCACTCGCTTGTGAGGATTTTGTTAGATTTCAACATAAAAATCATCATACAGGGGGAAATTAATTGTTTAGAATGTATACAATTGACTGAATGTTTAAGGATATAGACATTGTGGAATATTCACCATAAAGTATCCTCTATATTTCATGAGATAGAAGAATTAAACCGTCCAGTTAGATTTAATGTTTCTCGGATCTTTCAGTAAATAGAATTAAAACATTACCTAGATTTTTATATATATAATATTGAATTAAATTAATTTAATCTTGCATAGCAAAGAAAAAGGCTATGATGGAAGACGGGGACGGAGATTCGTGCAGTGCGGGTTACGAACACGGTCTTCCACAATATGAGAATTACTCGGAGTCAAATTCTTTAATATCCGAAGAAGAAATTATTTCGAATCAGGAGATGTCAAACGTTTCTTGGCCCGGCTCCCCTCCTCCCAATATTTCTGTTATGCTAAAAGTGCCTGTAATCGGTGACGAAATTGGTGATGGTATAATTAGTATAGATGGTGATGGTGATGGTGATTGGGAAGGTGAAGGTGATGGTGACGGCAAAGCAGATTCTTTTCAAGAAGGTAATAATAATAATATTATTATTTAACATTTATTTTTGTGTAATTTTAATTAATGTAGAAACACAGAAAAACAATTATCGGTTGGAATTCCGCTCTGGAGATCCTTCAATTTCCATGTCAACACTATTGTTCCGTATTACACCGTAGGGCCATCTTAATTGCATTATAGGCCCGGGGCAAAGCAGCACACTGGGCTGCCTACATAACCTGCGGGTGATCAGAAAATTAGCGTGGGGGCCCCACGTTAAGATGGCACCGTTGCACTGCTCTTTTCCTTGTGGATTTCTTCACGCTGCACGTTGCATGGAATATCAAAACACGTGGACTTTTTTAATATGGGGCTTAAACTCTTTCTAAATAATAGGGTCTGCTCAATCCTCTACCGGAGATGCTTAAATATCCAAATTTCCACTGCCATTCTGTATTGCACGGCTCTCTTCCTTGTGGATTTCTTCATACGCATGTTGCACGGGATGTCAAAACTCGCTAATTTTGTAATGCGTAGCTTAAACTTTTTCTAAATAATGGTACCTTCTCGGTGATCCTCCACCACTTTTTTCTTTTTCAATCTTTGGCTCGATTCTGTTGCGTTGCAGACAGGCGAACGACTTTCGAAATTGACGTAGCGGTTGGAAAATGCTTCGGTTAACGTTCCTAATTAGAAATTTGGAAAATTTTTCATAGTTAAGCAGGGCTTTTCGGAAACGTTTGCTTAATGTTTTAATTGTTAAATTCAGATACAGAAGCAGAAACACACGAGAAAGACGTGAAGAGAATGTGCAGTCCCAACGCTCAGAAAAACGAATCGGGAAGTTACGTGAGTATTTTAATTTTATTCGTAATTTACTCAAGGAACGTTTCGCTGACCGATTCCGTAAACAACAGGAGGAGGGGACGGAAAAGGATAGGAAGGCCCACCACTGGCAAAGTGGTCCCGTGCACCAGTGGACGGCCAATCAAGTGGGCCAGTGGCTGTTGGCTCTGGGACTGGAACAGTACATCCCGAAATTCGTGGAGAGCGACGTCACCGGACAGATTCTGCTTCAAGTGGACAGCGCACGTCTAAAGGTAAGAACCCTTTCCCCACCCTACCCCGCATAAAGGACCGAGTACAAGTCTAACGGGGGCAATCGTTTAGGTGTTGGGCGTGGCCAGTAGCGGCGACAGGTCCCTGATCAAGAAGAAGGTGAAGGAAATGAGATCCATGCTGGAAAAGGAGAGGAAGGCACACGTGAAGGAGCAGAAGGCCCGAGAGAAGCAGCAGAAGAAGGCGGAAAAGGCGTCGAAGAAGAAGTGAATGGGTGGTCCCCCCCAATTCCGAAAGTGTAGAGGGCGCGGATACGGAACGTATTATCGGTTGTGTTTTCTCAGGTACATCGCGGACCGAGCTCTAAACTGCCAATTGTAGAGCCTCGAACGGCGACAATCCCGGAAGCTATCACAATATTGTTTCGTAGACACAAGTTATTTTTGTTTAATTATTTCGTTATCGCGAAGTAATTTTTTTTTTTTTAAATAATAACGGGACCGAATTTCTTTACGACGAAGTATTTTATACGTACGCGTAGTTGTTTTTGTAGGATTATTTTCTACCAATCGGGAGCGACGACAGCGCCCTTTCTACCGACGGCGGAGATTCCGCAAAGTGATTTTTTTTTATATTAAATTATTCGGTCGCGACGAAGCTTTATATATATAATTTTTTTACCACGCGTGAGGAAATTTTCGTATTTAACCGGTTTTACACAAATCTTTGTAAGGGAAACTTTTTAGAATTTTTTTATTGGGTGAAAGAGAAGCTATTTTTCACAATATTTACACAATTTTTCCACAGAAAATTTTATTTTGTAGACTTTTTCCCTCCCTCTCCATCCGTTAACGACGAGGACCCGCCGACTTTATTTTTACGCGGGTCGTCGGGTTTTGTATCAGTATTTTTTATTCGGAAAAACTGCGCGTAAAAAAAACCCCCTTTTCATATTCCGGTCCACCTCTCTTGTAAATAATGCACATAATGGCACTTCCATTTCGCAGTTTACCTACCGACGAAACGCCCTCATGCCGATTCCCCCATAAAAGGAAGAAGAAGAAAAGAAAAGAATGGCTTTGTTTTTTTGTAAATGCGAAATGTAAATTTCACCCTCGGAATAGCGTCGAAAACGTAGTTACGGGCGAACGGTTTTCGAATTCGTGATGCCGCGTTGCCCCCTGTTTTAGCGAATTTGCAAAATTCGCCCCGTGTACAGTCTCTTTTAAGAGATGGCCAAAGGAAGGAGGGTTTGGTCCTTTCTCCTTCTGGTTCCTCCTCCTAACGCTTGGTACGAAACGATTCGTATCCCGAGTCGAACTTTTTACTCTAATACCCAGATTTACCGTCTTTCTAGGAGGCGCGAGGGTGTTCCAATCACTCTATTTATTTTGTATAGCGAAATTGTTTTTTTCCCTTTATTTAATAACACATCCGAGATTATTTGTCGCGATCTCCTTTTTTATAAATGTTATTTACGCATCCAATGACTTTTGTAAATGAAACCGAATAAATTGTCTTTCTAACAGAACTTTAGCTTCTCTCTTTTACCAGTCGAAGGCAAAGGAAGGCCCTTTCTACCACACCTCCGTGGGGTCGTCCACCCTTGTAATCCCTCCAGTGGGCATAAAATGTAACGACAGAAGCGATACAGTAGACATTCTTTTGGCCGAATCACGTGGGCACGAAAACAGGCACGTGAATTGCACGGTTTAAATACTACTGTATTTAAACCGTGCAATTCACGTGCCTACTGTATTTAAATACTACTGTATTTAAACCGTGCAATTCACGTGCCTGTTTTCGTTTAAATACTACTGTGTTTAAACCGTGCAATTCACGATCCCGTTCAATCACCTCGTAAGAATACCCACGTTTAAATACTACTGTATTTAAACGTGGGTCTTCTTACAAGGTGATTGGTTGAATGTTCGCTTGATTTCCTGGATGTACGTATGCCTGGCCGAACCCATGTTGAGCTTTTGTTAAGAATTCCTCAGTGCTCTCGGAGTAGAAAGAATTTAAAAAATGCTCACGCATCGAGTTACGGTTGCGTCACGAGTAATTCTTATGAGACTGGAGAAACATGATTTTGACGTCACTTTCCTCTCGTGGTTCGCAAATGTCACTATTCCGATCCCGGTAAATCGAATAGTGTGGGCCTTCCACGAGATCAAACACGTGGAGGGCGAGTCAGAAAGATGGGTACAAATAAGACGCGATTTCGATGGGGGACCAACCAGGGGGAAACTACTTATTGGGGCCCTGCAGCAAATTAAATTTATATTAAAGTAAAGAAGGTGCACGAATTCTCAATACAGGTAATGAAATTTAGTGCCTGAAATTACAGACAAGAACAAGGCAAAATTTTATTTAATAATTTAAGAAGTAGGTAGTAATATGAAAGTATACTTTCGTATTGGAGATTTTGGGATTTTGTTTGCCTTTCTTGTAGAAATAGTGTATTTGAGGATCCGCCTGTACGGAATTTTCGGGGATTTTTTCTTCGTCTGTTATTTTCGCATTGAAACGGTACGTCGAATTCTTTTTCAGAAGAATGGGGCGATCCAATTTTATAACCCCTTGTTTGTTACATTGCAAAGATAAATTTTCTATTATAGGATTGTCTGGAGCATCCTCGTAACCTGAAAAATCAATCATTATTCCGTTTTCTTCCTTGTGTCCTATCGGCAGCATTATTTTAATTAGAAAACAATCGGCCTCAACTTTTACTTCACAGACGAATTCGGATTTCTTTGTGACACTCGATTTGGCCACGTCCCGAATGGGATCGCCTCGGTGGTTGTACGTAATCCACGTTTCGTCTGAGTATTTCCGTTGTACTCGGGTATTACACACGCATTCTGGAACTTTTTCGTTTTTTGAGCCGCGCTCTATACAATCGTGGATGGTTCGTATTTCTAGTTCTGTTAAAATGTTCTCGAACTTATCGTATATGCCGGTGTTTAGATCATCCTTCGACAACGCCAGGACACGAATTGATGGAAGGAATGGCTCTAGAATGGTTCTCATTTGTACATAGAAGTCGTCTTCTTGGAATACCACTCCTAGTGCTTGAATCTTCTCGGATGCCCAATAGTAGATGCCGCGGATCAAATTTATCTCGTCTAAAGTATCGTACACGGGACGAGAAACGATTCTCTCGATGATTTTTTCGTCACACCGCAAAAAGTCCAGGTGTCTAAATACTAGTTTCCACGATGAATCGAACTCCCTCCAGCAGTAGTATTGAATTAACTTGTCGTCTTCGTCATACGAGAAGTCGTAAATGGAACAAAGATTACTGAAACGTATTAATTTAATTATGGCATCACGACTTGTGTCTTTCAGGGCCGTTATATCGTAGTCTTTGCTTATTCTGTACATTTGCATTGCATTGTCTGCGCTTGCAAACTGACAGTCTTCATTTTTCAAACAGCTGTGGGAATAGTAACAACGATCAATTTTCAATGTATAAACAAAACCATATTTTGGATTTTGATATTACGTCGATGCAGCACGTGGACAGTTTACATTTTGGGGGCTTTCTTCCCTTTACGTATTAAAAACCTTGAAAAACGCTACTCGGATGGCCCGTTGGTGGTGCTGTCCACCTTTCGACAAAGATTTAAAATAGTTACCTTAAAATCTGTGTTGTTTCCGAGCAACTCTCGGGCAGCAAAATGTTGTGTGATCCATTTTGGGGCATGCGTGACAGTATGGAACCAAACGTGGCACTTGTATTCCTCAAGTCAGAACTTGCAAGAGTTTCGTGTCGATGTCCATCCCGACAGAAAATAGTAACACATGCCATTATGTCCGATGTTAATTTAGACTGACACAAAATGCTCGATTGATTGTTATTGCAACAATTACTTTTTTATGGTATTATTATTATTATTATTATTATTATTATTATTAAATTTCTGTAAATATTAACCCAAACAAACACACGTCTTTGTTGTTTCAACCACCTTGGCTATATCACAGGATTCATCTATCTACATGAAATTAGACTGCGTGTTGTTTCTTAATAATATACTAAGTGACACCAGAAAATTTTCCAAGCTGGCCACGTGGAGTTTTCCCGGGTTTTTATTCGCGTCAGTAAAAGCTAAGGGCCGGTTTTCCTTAAAAATACCTCTCGGGAGGCATTTTTCCCCGCGGCAGATCTCCCGTGTTTCGCGTTGTTATAACCAAAATAAACCTAAACTTACTGGCATAATGGTTAGTTTCCGTGTCAATACAGAATTTCATTAGTCCGACGGTACAAAAGCAGGAAAAGTATAAGTGCCAGTTTGTGTACATTTTGGTACTGTACTTTTTACCATAGCTTTGAATTTTGAAAAGGGTTTAAAACCCTTAAACTTTTCATTACTAAATGCCTAAAGTTATCATCGTGCAAGGTTAATTTTTAAAACATCGCTCCGCTTTGCATGGCTTCGTTTCGCGATCTTAAAATAATTTAATTTTTCACAGTTTAAATTCTTCATTTTCAAATTAGGTTGCGTGGTTTTGTAAGCAATCCCGATTTAAAATGAGTTGATATACTATTGCAACACAAAAAATTTACAAAAGCATTAACGCTCTTGGTGGCAACGATGGCTACTATTAATCACCATTGTATTTTAAGTCAAAATATCTAAGTCTATACCACGCGTTGGGCAAGATCGTAATTTTAGAATCTATTTTTCTCATTTAAGTCTAGATTGTTTAGTTTATTCTTAGATTAGAGTTTTAGGCAATTAGACAAGTGATATAAATCTAAATTGTTTCATTTCGAATTTAGCTATTTTCTAGATTTCATATAATTATTATAAATAAGGTAAGATCATAGTTTAAACCGGTAAGTGTAGTGAGGGCCAATCAGAGAGGGGGAGAGGAGGTTCAACTGCCCCGGGCCTCAACTTGGCAACTCCATATGTTAAACAAAAATATATGAAAAGGTAAAGCGATGTCATGGCTCGTAGAACGGCCTAAATTATGCAGTTAAATACAGTAGAGAGTCGATTTTCCGAAACGTCAATCATCCGAAAGCATTCCAGTCGGCAAATTTAAATTTTCGCCAGTGCTGTGGCGCTTCAATCTTTGGCTATGTCTTGGGCTACTCAAATATTTTACGTTTTTGATACTAAATTAATATCNCATATTTTTTATTTCATTGTCCATAAAAAAATTTTTGATAAAAATAAGAAAACTGAAGACGTTGCCGATACTTTGTAAAAAGAAAACATTTTCATTTAACTAAAATTATTATTAATGCATAATACATACTTATATTTCTGATTATTAAAGGAATCAATAATTAACAAACATATATATTTCCAATCAGTAATTTTTCTCTTAGTCGCGAAGAACTAACCCCATGTTTTGCATTACTCCTTCGTTTTGTATAACATGGATTTTCGTAACACCGCAGTTTTTCAGAACATAACTACAGTGTTATAACAGGGATGCCCGTACTTATTTTATCACACTATCTGACAAGTAATATATTTAAACAAAACAATTACAAATGGTTTTATGTAACTGTGGATGTTGTATTTCATAATATTCTGTGTAGACCGGAAAGTTTAAAATTATAATGGTAACTGTAACTTTTTGAGGAGTTCGTATCAATTCAAAAGAAATACTTACAGGACAATACACTATTATTTGTTTGATCAATATACAGTAGAGTCTGTTATCTGTATAACAGATTTGTGGGTGTCAGATTACAGCTGGTTGTTGGATTACTGGATTTTATATGTATGTACTGTACATCTGTGTCTCTCCGATGCACTCATCAGATGATAACACGAAAATTTCATGTAAAATTTCCTAACTGACACAGACAGGTGCCGTAACAAAATGAGTCATTTTTTTCAATCTCGAGGTAGATTTCTCAACATTGCCATTATGCACAATGATATGGCATCATGCATGGCCACAGTCCACCTTCACTTCAGTTTTAGCTCATGGTCTTAAGACTTTAGATGTGAGTTAGTGCTTAAGCACATCTAAACAATTCTCATTTACAGAATACCAACATGTCAGATTGTTATTGGGTAATTCTAGACTGTTGGTATCTTTTTAGAAGATGGCAGATTAATGAACTTCATATGTAATTAGAATATTAATTAAGTAGAAAGTAATTTTTTTTTTTTTTTTTTTTTTTTAATATGAAATTTAAATTATGACATGTGTAAACTTTATTAAAAATTGAATTATTTTCAGTCTCCAGGCGAAAGAAGTTCTGAGAGCTCTCTGTGCGATGATAGCGAGGATGAAATTATATTAAGGTAATTTAAAATAGCAAACTAATCTTAATTTATTTTTCGGTTGTGCAAAGAATTCTATATGATATACAATATGTTAAGTTCAATTTAGCTTAAAAGCTTTCAACTAAACATTATTGTGCTCTATGCCAATGAATGTATCGAATGACTCGTGCAATCCAGACGAGCAAACATTTGTATTATTTCCTATGGAGATCTTGTGTTTGGAAAGCTTTGTATATTTGTATATGTTTAGTCACATATATTTAGTACATTCTACACATTATGTCAAGAAGAGTTTGTAAGTTATGATGGCTCAAAAATGCAAAAAGAAATCGTTATCTGGTTATGAAACTACAAGTATTATGCAAATACCACTTTCAGTTTGTTGACATCCTCAATAAGAACCATTTTAAAAAGGGCAGATAAGATAGAAGCATTGGCAATTTTATCCACAAAATTTTTAGCTACAAAAATAATTAGAAGAAATGGAAAAAATGGTTTAGTATAGGCTTTCTCAACATCTTTAAGAAGAAACTGGAGACAATTCAGAAAATTCTGTGGCTAGCAGAGCATTTATAGTGTAGGTTTTATTGATGAAACAGCCAGTTTGAATATCAGAAATTTTTCTTTTATTATTATATTTTAACCTAGTGCTGTAAATAAATGTTACATGGCCAGTCTTTTTACTTGGCCGAACAGTAATGGTGCTCATTAACTATCGGCGAGACTGTGACGCAAAGTAACATTTATAACATTTACTTATATACAAAGCAGCATTATGTGTAATAAATTGCATTTTTATTTGGTTTATTCTCTGTACTACATGCATTTAACATTACATATTACAATCATAGTTTAAATATGTTACTTCAAACATCTGTTGAATGCTGTTTATTTTATATATCTTAAATGAGGCAATTTCTGTAGTCACTATTGTACTTAATGATTGTAATATGTAAACGCTGAAGAGAGTTATATGTTGTGAGTTAAAACATGTACATGTTGTTATTTGCAATATTTTTGATTTATAATAATGTATAGAGAAAACAGTAGATATGTAGAGACAAAAGAAACAAGTATGACCCGAATTTAAAAGATTACAGAAGATTTTCAAATTAAATAGAAATTTAAATTGAAGATTTAACCAGGGCTGTGGAGTCGGAGTCATGGAGTTTTGATGATTGAGTCGGAGTCGTCAAAAAATCCGCCGACTCTGACTCCTTTTTACTTACCAACTTGTTACGTATATAAAACGGAAAAGTACTGGAATCGTGTCAAATTTGACCCTCCAAATTTTTTTTTTTTTTTGCAAATCTACACGTTTGGAGACCTCCTGAACCCCTGAAAAAAGTCAATAAAGGGGAAAAATTCGCGCGCGCGTGTGTGTTGGCGTCTGATTTGTTTAATTTCATTCTGACATATTGTTTAATATCTCAGAATGGGTAAAGTTTAAGAAACGAAATGTGGGACTGTAGCTTGCATATAAAAGGGCATTAATACTATTAGATTTTGGTTCTTAATTAAAGGTCGACAGGGTGAAGAGATAAAAATGGTCATGTGTCATATTTCTTAATAAATATTTTACTCGTTATTAGCGTTCAAAATTTAAAAAAAATAAAATAAAACTCGTCTCTACACTCAAAGTAAGCTTTTTAGCCATTGTTATAATAGTACAGTAAAACCCGTTAAGATGTTCTCACCTAAGATGTTAGAATGTATATGGGGACACGATTTAGTTCAACCTCGTTGTTTTTTGTTGCGCCACTTAGCGGAGCCCCACAGTCTTTCAATGTTTTGAGTGTGAGCACCCGTTGTTGGATCAACGAAATTATATTTATGGTTTACAGTAAAATGACTGTAACCTGCTCTTTCTAATTCATCCGTCCTGTAAGCTCGCCAACAGTCAGAATAAATTGTTGATTCTTGTTCAATGTGCTCCACGATTTTTGTCATTAGTGTGGTTGCTTCTCTATTAGGAACTGGAACGAGAAAACAATCACCAGTTTTTCGGCATATTCCGCCGAATATCCACTGTTGTGGAAGAACCCATCCAGCGTTGCTTTTTCGCCTTGTGAAAAGCGTTTCGTCGATTTCCACGATTTTTCCGGGACCGCCTATTCGCCTGTTCGGTTGTTTCAACAAATGTAAAAAACATACCTCCCTCAAAAAACTATTCCAGTCTATAGTTGTTTTGTTGCAAATATTTAGATGTTTTCGACACCACTTTATAGATGTAACTTCCTCCGTCCAATGGTAAATAAATCTTACCGCCGTTAAAAATGGTATCCGTGATCCGCTAAACCAATTATTAGAACGGATGCTTATCATTACATCACAGCTACTTATGGTGCATCTCCAAACGCCTTTAGATATATTTAATTTCATTTCATGCCCATTTTTACATATTCG